AGACCAAGCTGAGGAAAGAATCTCAGAAATGGAAGACTGGCTTTCTGAAATAAGACAGTTGACAAAACTTAAGAAAAATGAATGAAAAGGAATGAACAATGCCTCTAAAAAACATGGGATTATGTAAAAAGGTCAAATCTATAAATCACTGGCATTTCCGAAAGGGACAGGGAGAAAGTAAACAATTTAGAAAACATTTCAGGATATTGTCCATGAAAACTTCTTCAACCTTGCTAGAGAGGCCAATAGTCAATTTAGAAAATACAGAGAACACCTGCAAGATTCTACACAAGAAGATCATCCTCAAGACACACAATCATCAGATTTTCCAAGGTCAAAATGAAAGATAGAATGTTAAAGGCAGCTAGAGAGAAAGGACAGGTCATCTACAAAGGGAACCCTATCAAGCTAACAGCATGCTTCTCAGCTGAACCCCTACAAGCTAGAAAAGATTAGGGCCTATATTCAATATTCTTAAAAAATATCCAACCAAGAATTTCATATCCAGCCAAACTAAGCTTCCTAAGCAACAGAGAAATAAGATCCTTTTCAGATAAGCAAATGTTGAGGGCGTTGGTGACCACCAGACCTGCCTTACAAGAGATCTTGAAAAGAGCACTAACTATAGAAAGATGGCTACCAGCCAATACAAAAATATACTTAAATACACAGACCAATGACACTATAAAACCACCACACAAACAAGCCAGCATAACAACACAATGAGAGCATCAAACTCACACATACCAATACTAACCGTGAATGTAAATCGGCTAAATGCCCAACCTAAGAGGCACAGAATGGCAAGGTGGATAAAAAGCAAGACCCAATGGTATGCTGCCTTCAAGAGAACCATCTCACATGTAATGACACCCATAGGCTCAGAATAAAGGGATGGAGGACAATCTACCAAGCAAATGAAAATCAGAAAAAAAAGCAAGGGTTGCCATCCTAATTTCAGACAAAACAGACTTTTAAACCAACAAAGACCAAAAAAGACAAAGAAGAACATTATATAATGGTAAAGGGTTCAATTCAACAAGAAAACCTACTATCCTAAATATATATGCACCCAACACAAGAGCACTCAGCTTCATAAAGAAAGTTCTTAGAGACCTGCAAAGAGACTTAGATGCCCACACAATAATAGTGGGAGATTTCAGTACTCCACTGACAGTATTAGACAGATCAAGGCACAAAATTAACTAAGTTATTCAGGACCTGAACTCAACATTGGACCAAATGGATCTGATAGACCCCTCTTTCCAAAAACAACAGAATATATATTATTCTCATCACCACATGGCACATACTCTAAAAATCAACCACATAATTGGACATAAAACAATTCTCAGCAAATGCAGAAGAACCAAAATCATACCAGACACACTCTCGGACCACAGCACAATGAAATAGAAGTCAAGACTAAGAAAATTACTCAAAGCCATACAATTACATGGAAATCAAACAACATGCTCCTGAATGACTTTTGGGTAAATAATGAAATTATGGCAGAAATCAGGAAGTTCTTTGAACTAATGAGAATAAAGAGACAACATACCAGAATCTCTTGGATAGAGCTAAGGTAGTGTTAAGAGAGAAATTCATAGCACTAAATGCCAGCATCAAGAAGAAAGATCTCAAATTAAGAACCTAACATCACAATGGAAAAAATTAGAGAAATGAGCAAATCAATCCCAAAGCTAGCAATAGCAAGAAATAACCAAAATCAGAGCTGAACTGAAGAAAGTCAAGACATGAACATTCATTCAAAAGATCAACAAGTCCAGGAGTTGTTTTTTTGAAAACAGTAATAAGATAAGTAGGCTGCTAGCTAGGCTAATAAAGAAGAAAAGGGAGATAAGACCAAAATAAACACAATTAGAAATGACAAAGGTGATGTTAGCACTGATGCCACAAAAATAGAATTAACCATCAGAAACTACTACAAACAACTCCATGTACACAAACTAGTAAACCTAGAAGAGATGGATAAATTCCTGGACACATACACCCTCCCAAGACTGAACCAGGAAGAAATTGATTCCTTGAAGAAACAATAATGAGCTCCAAAATTGAATCAGTAATAAATAGCCTACTAACCAACAAAAGCCCAGGACCGTATAGATTCACAGCTGAATTCTACCAGATGTACAAAGAAGAGTTATGACTATTCCTACTGAAACCATTCAAAAAATTGAGGAGGAGGGTCTCCTCTCCAATTCATTCTATGAGGCCAGCATCATCTTGATACCAAAACCTGGCAGAGACACAAAAACAACACAAAACTTCAGGCCAATATCCTTGATGAACATTGATGCAAAAATCCTCAACAAAATACTTGCAAACCAAGTCCAGCAGCACATAAAAAAGCTAATTCATCATGTCATGATCAAGTAGGCTTTATCCCCAGGATGTAAGCTTGGTTCAACAAACATAAATCAATAAATGTGATTCATCACATAAATAGAACTAAAGACAAAACCCACACAATTATTTCAATAGGTGCAGAACAGGCTTTTGATAAAATTTACCATCCTTTATGTTGAAAACTCTCAATAAACTAGGTACTGAAGGAATATATCTCAAAATAATAAGAGACATCTATGACAAGCCCACAGCCAAGATCATACCGAATGGGCAAAAGCTGGAAGCATTCCCCTTGAAAACTGGCACAAGATAAGGATACCTGCTTTCACCACTCCTATTCAACATAGTATTGGAAGCCCTGGTCAGAGCAATCAGGCAAGAGAAAGTAATAAAGGGCATCCAAATAGGAAGAGAGGAAATCAAACTATCCCTGTTTGCAGATGACATGATTCTATATCTAGAAAACCCCATAGTCTCAGCCCAAAAGCTCCTTCAGCTGATAATCAACTTCAGCAAAGTTTCAGGATATGAAATCAGGGTACAAAAATCACTAGCTTCCCTATACACCAATAGAAGCCAAGCCCAGAGGCAAATCAGGAACACAGTCCCATTCACAAATGTCACAAAAAGAATAAAATACATAAGAATACAGCTAACCAGAGAGATAAAGATATCTACAATGAGAATTACAAAACACTGCTCAAAGAAATCAGAGATGACACAAATGAATGGAAAAACATCCCATGCTCATGGATTGGAAGAATCAATATCATTAAAATGGCCATACTGCCCAAAGTAATTTACAGATTCATTGCTATTCCTATCACACTGCCAGTGACATTCCTCACAGCACTATTAAAAGAAAAACTATTTTGAAAATTTATATAGAACCAAAAAGGAGCCAGAATAGCCAAGGCAATCCTAAACAAAAAGAACAAAGCTGGAGACATCACATTACCTCTCTTCAAACTATGCTTCAGGGCTACAGTAACAAAAACAGCATGGTACTGGTAAAAACAACAATGAAAACAAACAAACAAACAAACAAAAAAGACTCGTAGACCAATGGAACAGAATAGAGAGCCCAGAAATAAGGCCACACACCTATGGACATCTGATTTTTGACAAAGCTGACAAAAACAAGCAATGGGAAAATAACTCCCTATTCAATAAATGGTGCTGGGGTAACTGGCTAGCCATAGGTAGAAGATGGAAACTGGACCCCTTTCCTTACACCATATACAAAAATCAACTAAAGATGGATTAAAGACTTAAATGTAAAATCCAAAAGTATAAAAATCCTGGAAGACAACCTAGGCAACACCATCCTGGACATAGGAACGGGCAAAGATTTCATGAAGACGCCAAAAGCAATCTCAGCAAAGGCAAAAATTGACAAATGGGATCTAATTAAACTTAAGAGCTTCTGGACAGAAAAAGAAACTATTGAGGGAGTAAATGGAAAACCTAGAGAATGGGAAAAAATATTTGCAAACTATGCACTGAAAAAGGTCTAATATCCAGCATCTATGAGAAACTTAAATTTACAAGAAATAAAAACCATTAAAAAGTAGACAAGGGACACTAACAAACACTTTTCTAAAGAAGATATGCCTGTGGCCAACAAGCATATGAAAAAAGCTCAATATCACTGATCATTAGAGAAATGCAAATCAAAACCACAATGAAAAATCATCTCACACTAGCCAGAATGGCTATTTCTAAAAAGTCAAAACATAACAGATGCTGGCAAAGTTGCAGAGAAAAGAGAACACTTATAGTTGGTGGGACTGTAAATTAGTTCAACAACTGCAGAAAGCAGTATGGTGATTCTCAAAGAGCTAAAAACAGAACTAACATTCAACCCAGCAATCCTATTACTAGTGATATACCCAGAGGAATATAAATCATTCTACCCTGAAGACACATGCACATAAACATTCACTGCAGCACTATTCACAGTAGCAAAGACATAGAATCACCTATATGCCCATCAGTGACACATAAGATAAAGAAAATGTGGTACATATACACCACGGAATACTGTATAGCCATAAAAAAGAATGAGGTAATGTCTTTTACAGGAACATGAATGGAGCTGCAGGCTATTATTCTTAGAAAATTAACACAGGAACAGAAAGCCAAATACCACATGTTCACACTTTCAAGTGGGAGCTAAATGATGAGAACTCATGGACACCAAGAAGAGAGGAACAGACACTGGGGTCTACTTGAGGGAGAAGAGTGGGAGGAGGGAGAGGAGCAGGAAATACTAAGTATTAGGTTAGTACCTAGGTGACAAAATAATCTGTACGACAAACCACTGTTTACATATACCAGAAACTTGCACATGTACCCCTGAACCTAAAATAAAAGTTAATAATTAATTAATTAATTAAAATAAAAACGTTCTGAAAACAAAAAGAGAGAGAGACTCAAAGACACTATTTTCCTCCCCTTGACCATGTGCCTTGAAGACTGATTAAGACATAGGTACCCAGGCAAAATCAGGAGTGGGTGGACCACATTCGTGGGTAGGAATTTGCACAGCTTGCTCCTAAATGCTCATTTTGTCACATGGACTGTAGGTCAAAACCTGTTCATTATGTGGGCAATGGAATTTATCTCACCTTGGGTTTCTCCCCAGCCAGTGATGAAACATTCGGTCCGGTCAGCGACCACATAATTTGGGGATGGCAGACAAGCTGGGATTACTTTGTCAGTGATGATGGCAGGACTGAAAGAAAAGCATCAGCAGTTATGTTTGACTGCTCTGCTGGCAGCTGCAACACCCACAACCAGCCATCCCTGCCTTGAGGCCCCGGAGCCCTCTGAGCTGGCACTGCCTTGCTTCACTGACACAGAGCAATGTAGAACACAGCGTTTCACCCTCACATTTGCCTATGTTTGCCTATGGACTACACAGACATAAGGTTTCATTTGAAAGGCATCAGTTGCATGCAAGATACTGCTGGTGGCCTTCACCTTTGAAAGTAGGGATGACAAAGGTGTACTTCTCATGCATATTCTGTGCACAACTGGAATCTCATGTCGAGTGCGTCCTTTCATATTAACCAAGTAGGGCATTGATCCGTGCATGGAGTGTCTGACTGAGATGCCACCAAGAGGCTGTAAAATTGCAAATGCATTGTGTGCCCAGAGCAACTTGCTCCATCCTTGGATCCTCCACTTCCTCCTCAGTGAAAGTTGCTACACCATAGTTGTAAGAATACAGTAAAATACTTGATACCAAATGAAAGAAGATTGGAAATAAGCCTCTTGCTTGAACAAAATGGTATTGTGTTCAAAGAACATTCATATACTTTAGAGTCCCAGGGACTCTCAAACATTAGAACTCTGGTTTTTAGACCTGATTCTACTTTAGTAAGTTCAAGGGGATAAAGGATTGGAAATGAGAAATGCCCTATTCTGATCAAGAATCATCATTGTCACCAACTTTGAAGCAGGCACACTTTCTGCTTTTGAGCATCATCAGAAGGCCCCCTGTCGTGCAGACGTCCTCACTCTACGGGTTCCCTGGTGGAACACTAAATGCCCTAGGCTCTTGGGGAGTGGGGATGTGGGGTGGGAACTCTAGACTTGAAATGTATCAGCCTATCAGAGAACTCCAAAACCCAAAATTTCCAAATTACTTGTTCAAACCATCAGAACACCACAGCTCTCTGAGGACCATGAGGAACCTTCTACTTGCACATTTGCTGGGTGGGGAGGACACTGGAGAGCACAAAGGAGATCAGCTACTGTTTATAAAGGCTGAGCTGGAAAGGCTCTTCTCTCCTTCTAGAGTGTCAGAGCATCCCAGGACGTCACCCCTCAGTTCACAGACCCAGAGAAGTTGCCCTGGGATTGTGGCCAGGTCCAGGAGAGCAGCTCAGGCTCCTGCCCCATGCCTTCCCATCCAGGCCATGCTCATCCCTGTCCATGCCGACACCCTGTCTTCCAGAGCCGCTAGCACAGCGAGCACCCTGCGTGCCTTGTCACCTGTCCCAAATCTGCTTCTCCTACAAATAGCTGTTTCTTAGCTGACTCAGCTAGTATCTGGCTCCAAACAGCACTAACTTAATAAGTGACATAAGCAAACGTATCACTTTGTCAGGCTTAATGAAACAACATTTCAACAGGAAAGAGAAAATCAAATCAAAGAAGACAATAATAATGTAATTTGCACTTATAAATTGTATTTGTGATTTTTTTGACATTGTGAAGTTTTTTTTGTTTTGTTTTGTTTTTGTTTTTGTTTTTGTTTTGGTACAGGGTCTTACTCTGTCTCCCAGGCTGGAATGCAGTGACATGATCATAACTCACTGTAGCCTCAAACTCTGGGACTCAAGTGATCCTCTTGCCTCAGCCTCCCAAGTAACTGGGATTACAGGCACCCACACCAGACACCCAGTTCGATGTTGTGGTTTTTCAAGTGCTTTGAAATAAATACAGTCTTATTTGATTCTCTTAAACATATTATGATGAAAGGAGAATTGTCATCCTGGAATAATTGCATCATTCTCTGATCATGAATGTGGATGAACTGGTGAACATTAAGTGAGTTTTAGGGGTAACAGAGTACCTCATGTTTCAACTTTTTCCACATGAGAAAACTGAGTCCTGCTGCCTTTCTCAAGAGCACAGCTAGCATGTGGCAGGGCCGGGGTTGAAGACTGATGCTGTCCCCAAAGCCCTTGAGCCTTTCATGTGATAGACAGCCCCTCCCTACTGCCATGCAGTGACCATGACCCATAAAACCCAGACATAAAGCAACTATCTTCACCAGCATAGGGTGAAGACCACAGGTGAGCGAGTACCTGCTTAGCTTTAGCAAGGCAATATCTCCTCCTCCGGGCTCCGAGAACATCTTAGATACTTCTATTTCCTGAACATGCGGTTCGAGATGCACTTCTCGGTGTGCACCCAGGATGACCTTGTAGAATGAAGGCCTTGGGGACCTAGAAAAGATGAGGATGTCAAGAGCAAAATACGGTCCGGCCCCTTCAGGTAACCTCTGTGCCGTGAACTTGATGCTGTCTCCCTGACACCCTTGGCCACTTAGAATTAGTGACTTCTGAGTGGCAAGAAGCAAAATTCATGATTTTCTCAAAACAGGCAGTTAAGTAATGTTCTCAGGCTGTTTGGGTGGACACTGATGCCTATGGTAGTGAACAGTTCTATTCTGCAGTTTATTCAGGCCCACAAAATCATCTGTACTGTGTCTTTCCTCTGCAGTGTCTCTCTAGAAACCTTTCCTTTCTCCCTTATCTGATTGCCCTGGCCTGGTCCCTAGTGTCACAGCCAGAAAAGGAAGGGAGGAAGAGAGAGAAAGGAAAGGAAGGAAAAGTGGGAAGGAAAAAGTATTTAAGACAAAACCTCATGTCAATTGTCCCCTAAACGTACTTCTCCAAGCAGTGGGCAGCAGTCAGCACCCACTCTGGGGATATCAAGGTGCCTCCACAGAAGTGCATTCCAAACCTAGAAAGAGGATTTAGTTCAAATTTTAGTCAAATTGATACTTTGTTCTGCTCCATTGTACGGAAAACATACAGAAAACGTGTCTTTCTGACATGTTCACTTAATTTTGACCATATTCATATTCCCAAAGGAAAGGACTGTAAGCCCAGCATCAGGACGGTAGTAACTTTGACCAGTGCTCCAGGAGTGGGATTTTTCAAAAGGGCCCATCTATGCCACTTTTTCCGATGCTTTGGGGAGGCACAGGCACAGCCTGTCCACAGGAGAGCAAAGCTAAGTGACTCAGCATGAAGCTCTACAGTCGTGACTTCCACCTCACAGCCCAGGACTCCAACAGAAGCGACCAGCCCAAGACCTTGCCCCGAGGTCTCTTTCATTTTTATGACAAGATCTATGCAAAGTCTGATGAATCATTCTTCAAGGAGCCAGATGTGATTCTGAACAACAGTGACTCATGGGGGTCTTCTGATCTAACCTGAGGAACTTTACTTTTGAGGAATGTTTCCTGAATCACTTACTTTCTAGGACTGTGTGGGCAGGTAATAGCTCAGAATACTGGTGTGAGCCACTTGGAACCAGATTGTAATGAAGAGGAATAGAGACAGGAAGTGCATGATGACAGCACGTTGATAAGTCAGTGAGGATGTAGACCACCATACAGTTTAGGAAGGAATGAATCTGAGCTATGTGGAAGGTGAAAGCTCTGTAGAGCAGGGAGTTAGTAAACGATAAAGAAAAATCAACTCAACAGCAGAGTGAAATGCAATGCGATCAGGTTTGTCGATGGCATTTCACAAACTTATGGAAAGGAGTCTCTTTACGGGAGAACAGCAATTGAGCACAGGTGTCCTGGTGTAGAAATGAGATGAGGAAGCAAAACAGGCAGGCAGATGAGCCTGTTTCCTACGCATGCTTCCTAAGAGATACCCAAAAAAACGGAACTTATGAAAGGCATGTTCCACTGAAACAATACCCAAAATGTCCTGGTTCCCTGGGATTGGACTGATCACTCTTAATTTATGGGGATCATGATCTAGAATTTTTTTATGTTTGTGAATGGATGAGTAGCCTCTGAATTGAATTCAATGATTCACAAAAGTGTCCAAAGAAAAAAAATCTGTGCCTGTGATAGACTGTAGATAATTTTGTCCTTGCTCTCCCAACCCAGAAAGTGTCACATGTCTAAAAACTTCCCTCTCTTTTCATCTGACAATGAGACAGTGGATATCCATAGAAATCCTTGGAGCATCTTCAATATTTTCCAGCAATATTGGAACTTGGTGTAAATCACTGTGCCTACAGATTTTGATGGAGCTGCCCAGATCAAGAAAAAGACAGCAATTTTGGCCATTTTCACAGTAGAGAACCTATAAAAATATATATATATTTTAATATATATATTTATATTTAATTTATATATATAATATATAAATATATAATATAAAAAATATATATATATTTCAATTTTTGTAGCTTTTTTCCCCCTTCAGAAAACTTAGAGGCAGGTACTGATGCCTTAGCTGTGTGGGTTTTGTGTAAATGTAGAAGGGTTTTGCAGGTCTTACATGGAGGGACAGTATAAATCATTTCTGGGCCTGTTCTTACCTTGTTCTAAGACTGATTTGCCAGGGCCAGGAATGTGCGTGGGCCACACACCCCCCTACAACCCTTCCAGGACATTTCTTCGGCTCCACTTGAGGCTTCCCACAATCAAATGAAGAGGCCGCTGTGGCACAAGGTGGGAAAGAAATCCCATTTGAGACAAGGTAGCAATTTTGTGGTGTAAATCAAGACAAATTCCAAGCCCTGAGTTTTTGACATCTCAAAGGCCAAACTAAAGAGTAAAATCATAAGCATCTTTTGGAATATTTTCTCTAAGTTTCAAAAGTGGTAGTAGACAACACAGGACCCTCTCTTTTCAAGAAAATAAAAGCACTTTATAATTACTTTGTTGGAGAAGTGATCAAACAAATTGGTATAGTTTAGCATCAGAATGAGATCTTTTCTGAGAAGACCTTGATTGGGACAAATGGTTATTTGTCATTGTTATTCTCACTCCATGCAGTATGTTTAGAACACGATGTCATCCTTCCCATAATCATCATCATCACCATCACCATCTAAACCATGTAAAGTTTACTAAAAACCATAATTGTCATCACTGCTGAAAGGCAGAAAGTTTTCTTTTTCCATGTGAGTCTCTGTGTGTGCGTGTGTGTGTGTGTGTGTATGTGATTGTATGTGGCAAGGATTACTGTCCTAAGTTGAAATGTTGCCTTCTCTCAGCCAGCTTCAGGACAGCTTCTCTGGGGAGCCTCCCATGACTAACTGACGGCCGTGGGGGTGACTTAAACACATGTGCCTTTATTCTTCTTTTCCTCTTCCCTGCCTTCTCTCTGCAGCCAGCCCACAAGGTCTCTGGAGGTAGGGACAGTGTCCCATCTTTGGTATCACCCACCAATGCCTACAACAGTGCAGGGGCTACAGCGGGTGTTCAAAAATGCTTCTCTGTTGTCTCCAGCCCTTCAAGGTCTTCAAAAATATAAATGTTAATATTATTAATAATTATTCATAAATTATTAATAACAACTGTAAGAGGAAATTCCTTCCCAACCAACCAGAGATTCTATGCTCTAGTGAATCTGGAACCTGGATTTTCCAAATAACTTTACATTTGCCATGGGCTGTTCTGAGCATCTGTCTGTGGAAGACTTTTTTAAAAAAGAAGCAAGGTGTAGAATGCAATCGTCTTCTCTAGTGCTGAGCTCAATTTCTGCTAGTATGCCTTACACACAGTAGACATGCATCATTGTACTAAAAGAGTAACTACAGAAATAATGGTACCCTGCTCCTACTATTCAAAACAAAACTGAACGTTTCTATTTATTTTTACTTATTTATTATTTGTACTGTATATGTTGGTGGAAAGGAAATAGTTATTAAAATCATTCACCACCAGAGGTTCTAGCTTTCTCAAGTACGAGTCATGTCTGAATAAACCACATCCTTCTGTGTGAAACAGTCTTCAGGATTTCCAAGTGTCTGGTGGGAACCCTTCTCACCAGGCTTGGGGTTAACCTCACTTGTCTCACATCAAGGTAAGGTGGGGGACCTCACAGTCCTTTGGGAAAAATCTTGTTCCCATTTTTTTTATTATTATTATACTTTAAGTTCTAGGGTACATGTGCATAACGTGCAGGTTTGTTACATATGTATACTTGTGCCATGTTGGTGTGCTGCACCCATCAACTTGTCAGCACCCATCAACTCGTCCTTTATTGTTCCCATTCTTCCTTCTTTCTCCAGTCTCTAAGAACCTGATTCTTGTACATCCTCAGTGTGGGTGAGGACACCAGAATTGCACCTGGGAAGCTACAGCACTTCCCTTCCATGGGAGTCAAAGGTGCATGAGCCCCAGGCACGGTAGTGGGGTCTGAGGCAAGAAAGTCAGTCTGGGCTCAACTTCAAGGCAGCCTGTCAAGGATAGAGAGCCTGGGCAGTGAGAGGCAGTGGCATGTACCAGATGGGGCCAGAAGTGGAGAACTGGAACTGACCACATGGAGGGACTTTGAGGTAGAGGTGCCACCAAGATGCTTCTGCAGAACAGACAAAACACCCACTCGAGGAAAAAGTCAGCTGTTAACTCACACTAAATCCAGAGAACACAATGCCACATTACAATAATACTGGCCAAGTAGAATCTTTCCTATCATCCTAACCCCTCCTTCCTCCCTCTTGCTCTCCCTAGGAGTGGCCCAAATGTGATGATGGGCAGTGTGGCTCTCGTGGTCTTCATCACTGCCCTGTACCACCTCCCCAGGCAATCTTGGGATGCTGGTCTTCAGTGGACTTGGAGGCCAAGCTCCTTCCCCCAGCTCAAGGTCCCTTCACATGGCAGACCCAACCACAAGCAACCAAGTTATGCATAGAAGAAGTCCAGGGTGGCTTTCTGTAACTATTGATTGGTCAGCAGAATGTTAAATATGGGACAATTCCAAGTAGCTTCCTTTTTTTTTTTTTTCCAGAAATATCCATGGATTTGTTATTCTAATTGTTTAAGAACTAATGTCAACTCCCTTTCCCCTGATCCAAGCCTCATACTCCCAACAAAAGTCTCAGAGCAATGAGGAAGGAGCCCAACAAGCAGTCTGTAAGCTATGTCACTAATGTGACCTGTGAGTAGTAAACTTACGAGAAAGGCCATCTGGGGCTAAAGAGCTGCACTACCTTTCACTGAATTCCCAGGATGGCCATCTGAGGTTTACAATGCGCATTACATGCTTACCTGTTTCCTGCTGTTTGTATTTTCTTTCTTACCTCTCCGTGGAAGGGGTACTTTTTTTTTGTTGTTTGTTTTTTTGAGACAGAATCTCACTCTGTGGCCCAGGCTGGAGTGCACTGGCGCGATCTCGGCTCACTGCAAGCTCCGCCTCCCGGGTTCAGGCCATTCTCCTGCCTCAGCCTCCCGAGTAGCTGGAACTACAGGCACCCGCCAGTACACCTGGCTAATTTTGTGAATTTTTAGTAGAGACGGGGTTTCACCGTGTTAGCCAGGATGGTCTCGATTTCCTGACCTCATGATCCGCTCACCTCGGCCTCCCAAAGTGCTGGGATTACAGGCGTGAGCCACCGTGCCCGGCCGGAAGGGGAAACTTTTTCATCTGAATGACTCTAAATGTTTCGTGCATCCCACGCTAGACATGGCAGCATTCAGTGGGACCATCCTGAGGCTGACTAAATTACCTCTAAGCTTGCTCTTTGGGAATTTTACATTTATTTTATTTATGTGTGTCTGGGGTGATGGGCAGGTGTTCCACTAACAAACGTGGGCAGTAGTAGGGCAGGTTCAAGATACCCGTGCTGAAGAGTGGGGTCTGGTGGAGAGGGCAGCCATCTCCTCCCGAGAACCACTCCGCTCAGAAGCCCTTTTCCTTTTTTGTTGCAAATCCATGTTAAGGAAGCAGTTTCTTTACCAAAAAGAAGGCAACCTACCACACTGAGGGACATCACAGTAGTCGTAAAGTTTTCTTGGATTTGTCGTGTAGCACCAGGGACCACCTACATCACCATCAGGGTTACGGCAGTACTGAAAACAAGAAGGCATGTAAGCTCCAGCTCACATGGGGCAGGAGAGGGAGAAGGTGTTCGGAGGCTTGTACATTTCATGTCTATCCTTAGAAGACATAAGGGAGTGTTTCTTTTCCCTTCCTTCCTTTTTTCTTTTTCTTTTTTTTTTCTTTTTTTTTTTTTTTTTTTTTTTCTTTCTTTTTTTTTTTTTTTTTTTTTTTTTTGGAGATGGAGTCTTGTACTCTTGTCATCCAGGCTGGAGTGCTCAGTGGCACAATCTCAGCTCACTGCAACCTCCACCTCCTGGGTTCAAGCGATTCTTCTGCCTCAGCCTCCTGAGTAGCTGTAACTGCAAGTGCGCACCACCATGGCTGGCTAATTTTTTTGTGTGTGTGTATATTTAGTAGAGACGAGGTTTCACCATTTTGGCCAGGCTAGTCTCGAGCTCCTGACCTCAGGTGTTACACTTGCCTCAGCCTCCCAAAGTGTAGGGATCACAGGTGTGAACCACCACGTCTGGCCTCTTCTTCCTTCCTATTATTATTATTATTGTTATTGTATTTTTTTGGCAAAGTTATTTTTTGAATGCTCTAAAGCCGTCCGTCCTGTGCCCCTGTTCAAAAGGAGTCATGAGGCCACACCCCTGGACAGGGAGTGGTGACCCTGAGGGGTCTTTGGGGGCTGGGTCTCCCCTTCAGGAGCCTGACCAATGGAGGTCTTAGAGCCCCAGCACCGAAGGACAGTGGGACATCATTGATGTGCATTGTCCCTGGAGGGCACTGTGCTCTCCTGCCCGATGAAGCCTGTTTGCTGTTGATTCAGAAACATTTATTTCCATGCATTGTGCACCCTCTATGGGGCAAGACACAGAAAGGCAGTGTTGTCCTTCCCTTCATATGATACTGTGATAGAATAAGAAATGTGTATTTGGTCTCTGCCCTCCCAGTTCCTGACACAGAGCTCCTAAATCCCTTGGGAGTTCCTGAGTGAAGGGAACATCTTTTGTTCAAATGAAGCAACTCCTGGTGGGTTCCTGGATAGTCTTAGGATGGGGCTGGTTGCCAAGGGAACCAACCATGTGATCGGAGGGTTGGAACTGTTCAGCCCCCCACGTCCAACCTCCAGGGAGGGAAGAGGAGCTGAACGTGAGCTGGTCTCCAATGGCCAATGATGTATTCAGCTGTGCCTCTGTAATGAAGCCTCCATAAAATCCCAGCAAGACTGCACTTGGAGAGCTTCTGGGTTGCTGAACACTTGGGGTACCAGGGGCTTGTGCACTGAAGAGAGCATGGAAGCTCTGAGCCCCTTCTCACATGCCTTGCCCCGTGCATCTCTTCTGTCTGGCTGTTCACTGGAATCCTTTGTAATATCTTTTATAATAAATGGGTAAATAAAAGTAACGTGTTCCCCTGAGTTCTCTGAGCCACTCCAGCAAAGTAATCAAACCCAAGGAGGGTCATGTAGAAAAACAGATTTTTATCCAGTTGGGCAGAAGTACAGGTCACAGCCTGGAACCTGGGACTGGCATCTGCAGTGGGGCAGTCTTGTGGGACTGAGCCTTAACTTACGGGATCTGACACTGTCTCCAGATACAGTGTCAGGACTGAGTTACATTGTAGGACACCCAGCTGGTATCTGCTGGAGACTTGTTTGGGGCGTGAGGAGAAATCACACCCATCTGGTGTGAGAAGTGTTATGTTGCATGGGTGTGACAGTGGGGAACATAGACACTTTGGTTTTCCTTATATCTCAGTCTTCCTTATACACAGGCCCCAAAGTAAACCATCGCAGGGAATGCACGAGGCTAAGGGAAGTCCCAAGGTGACCTGATGGCCCATCCAAATCTTTTCTAGAAAAATCTGACTTAAACTTCATAAAGGGCAACTTTGATTACCGGAGCCTAGCATACAAACACTAGAAACTAGAAACAGTGCCCAGTAATGGAAACTTTAAGGAAATGTCACTAAAGGGAAGAGGCCTGAGAACCCTCACATGCGTGGAGGTTTCCTGGCCTGTGCTGCTTGTACTTTCCATACTAAGGCCTATTATATTCTATCTTAGCCCCCTGATGCCTTTCCAATATTTTCTTCTGCCCCCTCTCCCAGCTTACAAAAAAGAGCAGTCCAGGCAGATTTTCTGTAGTGCAGAACCAATTCTGTTTGCAAAGATTGGTGAGCAAAAGGCAAAAGAGTCCAAATCAAAGTGGCTTACGTTTTTTTCCAGACCTGCCCGTGGATTTGTCTCTGGAGTGAAAATGCGGTGGCTGTGGGGCTCCTGGGCAGCCCATTCCTGGCATGGTGTCCCGGTAACAGTGGTTGCCTTCTTGCCTCGGTATCCTTTCCCATTCCCAAACATACAGTCTGTACAGGGGAAAAAATGGATGCTTACGAACAGCCGCATAGACCCAGGATGATATGGAATCAATACAGTCATGTCAGATTTCTCTAGGATGACATGAGAATCAGGGGCCACATTCCTCAGAAACTGCAGTGCTGAAGACTGCAATGAACACTGCCCACCTTAAGGAATTACTGGAGATGCTTATTGGCTTGGAAAGAATCACACATATGGCAGCATGATAGAATAGGAATTTGGACTGGGACACTGAGATAACCCATTTTAGAACAAGGTGAGTGGTTAAGTTGAGCACCCTGGAGGGTTTGCACCTGTCCTAAAGGCACAGCCCACTCACGTTGTGCCAAAAGTCACACCTCTGCCTCCTCGAGAGAGTGCACTGAGGCTTCCTTCCACATGGCCAGACCCTCTAAAAACATTTGATTTCCCATGTGGCATGGAAGGCTTCTGCATCAGTGGGATTTTCCATGGTTTTTCATCCCAGCGTCCAAGTGTGTAGATGTCTAGCCACAGATTTCTTACCTTCCTCGGAAGGAGTCTCTGCATCTGGAAGTTGGGCAACAGGCGGAGGTGCTGCAACACTCCCTTCTGTTCCTGAGCATTTTTTCAGGTTGCAGTACTCCCACCTGACGCTGGGGTCCGTGGTAAAACACCAGGGGCCTTTATCGGCATCTGGATTCCTGCAGTAGTTCATTGTCAGGCCACTGGAAATTCCAAAACAATAGAGGTCACAAGAGGTGGGAGAATATTCAGGGGCACCCAGCACCCTCTACGTTTTGTTCTAACAAAGTGTTAACAAGTGGCTCTGAAATAGGTGCAATAATGTTGTACCAAGCACAAATGGTCCTCAACTTCTGAACAACTGTGTACATTTCAAAGACAGATTTTAATTTTTATTTAAAAAATCAAAAGTAGGATATGCTCCATATTAAAAACTCAGATCATACATAAATCTGTAAATAACAGGATCAGAATATCCTCCTCCCACCTTCTGCCAAATACATTTCTCAGGAATAACAGGTACAGATTTTAAAGTGTATATTTTATATTTTTATGCACATAAAAATGTATCTCTAACTGTTTAGCTCTCTGTATTTCTCTCTGTAGGACTATATTGTGACATGTGCATTGGAACTAAAATATATTTCTCCAAGGAGGAAATGACATCCAAGATGGTATCATTCCCGGGCTGGTCACCTTACTCTAAGTACTCATAGTGTAACTAAAGGGCTCTACTTTTACTATGAAAAACAACCATGAAAATAGTGTTACTGTCAATACCGTGTCAACTGTGTCAAGTGGGTTTGTTTCTGCAAGACTTATCAAAGCCACCCTGGGAAACTAGCTCCCAGGCAGGATGCCATTTCTTTAGGGTGGATTCCTGGGCAGGACATTGTCTCCTGCTCTCAGTCCATCCTCTGCTGGCCACAGTCACTCCGGGTCTGAGGGAATGGGTGATGAGTTGGCAGAACAGTGGGACTCAAGACATAAAGGGAGACTGCTGGGTAGACTATGGGATCTGAAGAGGTTGGGCAGCTACGGAGGAGTCCGAAAACAAGGGAGTAAGAGGCAAAGCAGGTGAGGACCCCGGGCTGGGGGGGATCTTGGAGGATGTGCTCCCTTTCATGCCTCCCAAGAATGTTGCTCCAACCTCTCAGTATCCTCATATTCATGAGCTGTGACTGTCTGAGAAAACGGGAGATGTATTATGTACCATGGGAATGCAACATTGTCTCTCTAGAGACTCTGCACATGTGATCTAGTCTCAAGCCCAGACACCCCATTTGAGGAAGCTTGTAGTCCAAGCAACTGAATGTGTTAAAAGGCTGAGCACTTGAAACAGATTTCCACTCTTTTCAATTGAGGTATACTTTTACATAGTGTGAAATGCACAGATATTTTATTATTATACTTTATATTCTAAGGTACATGTGCACAATGTGCAGGTTTGTTACATATGTATATATGCACCATGTTGGTGTGCTGCACCCATTAACTCGTCATTTACATTAGGTATATCTTTTAATGCTATCCCTCCCCCCTGCCCCCACCTCACAACAGGCCCCGGTGTGTGATGTTCCCCTTCCTTTGTCTGAGTATTCTCATTGTTTAATTTCCACCTATGAGTGAGAACATGTGGTGTTTGGCTTTCTGTTCTTGCGATAGTTTGCTGAGAATAATGGTTTCCAGCTGCATCCACGTCCCTACAAAGGACATGAACTCATCCTTTTTTATGGCTGCATAGTATTCCGTGGTGTATATGTGCCATATTTTCTTAATTCAGTTTGTCATTGATGGACATTTGGGTTGGTTCCAAGTCTTTGCTATTGTGAATAGTGCCGCAATAAACATACGTGGAAATGCACGGATCTTAAATGTCGTTTGGTGAGTTTTGATGATCACCTGTACTTGTGTAACCGACACTCCCATATGATACAGAATACTTCCAATACTCTAGAAACACCCTGTGTCGAGGCTCATTCAATTCCTGCTACCCTCTTCCCACTGCCAGAGGGAAATACTATTGGTTTCCTTCACCGAAAATTCGTTTTGCCTCTCCTCAAACCTGATATAAATGGACTGACACAGAATATACAATTTTGTATCTGCCTTCTTTCCTTAATATAATATTTTTGAGTTCCATCCATCCTATTTGAGAGAGACAGTCACTTTTTCATTTTAATTGCTTAATAATATTCTATTATATGAATAGATCACAAATTATCGATTCATTTTCTCATTGATTGACATTGTAGTTGTTTACAGTGTGGGGTTATAAGAACTAGAGCTGCTGTGAATATTTTTGTAGATCTCTTTGTGGACTTCTGTTTTCATTTCCATGGGGTAAATATTCAGGAATAGAATTGCAGTTTTGTGGGGTAGACTCATATTTATTTAACTTTACAAAAAACCAGCAGACTGATTTCCAAAGTGGTTGTACCATTTTGTACTTTAACCAGCATGTGAGAGAGCTGCTTATCCTCACTCCACATCAGTGACAGCACTTATTGTTGTGTCTTCTTAATGATACCCATGCCCATTAAGTGTTGGTGACATCTCGTGATGGTTATAATTCTTATTTCTTTGATGGCTAAGATGTTGAGCATTTTTTTTGGGTGCTTATTGTCCATCTGTCCATCATCCCCTGAGAAATTTCCTATTCAATTCTGTTGCCCATTTTAATTAGGTTGTTTGTCCTCTGATTAGTGAGTGGGAGAAACGTTTATACTCTAGATACAAATCATTCGTCAGATATATGGATGGAGAGGATTTTTCTTCCAGTCTGCTACTTACCTATTGATTTTTTTAACAATGGCTTTTAATGAACATAATTTTCATTTAATGAAAGCCCAAATTATAATTTATTTTCTTTCAGCTCTAGTGTTTTCTGGGTCCTGCCTAAAAAATATTTTGCCTTCCTCAAGTTTGTGAAAATATTATATATTTCCCTGGAATTATTTTATTTCAGCTTAAGTTTTAGCTCTTACATTTAGATCTAGGAGCTTTTGCACATTAATTTGGGGTGGAAAGTAGAAGTCAAAATTTGTTTTTGTTTTTGTTTTCTAGATGGATATCCAGTTGTTTCACAATGATTTTGGAAAAGATGTTTTTCCCTATTGAATTGCCTTGTCACCTACATAGAAACTAAATTTATCATATATATGTGGATCTGTTGTTGGACCATCCATTTCTATATCTGTATACTTTTTTTTTCCAGTACCACGTATCTTGTTTACTGTGCCTTTATAAGTCTTTACCTTTGGGTAAGTAGGTCCTCCAACTTTTTTCTTCCCTTTAAATATTGTCCTGGTGATTCTAGCATATACATTGTCACATTTAAAAAAAAGAAATGACTGCTGAGAATCTGCCTGGGTATGGGCTGAATCCAAAGATCAATTTGGTGAGAAGTGATATTGACTCTCTTAACATATAAGCGTGATATATCTTTAGATCTTTTAATTTCTTCCTTAACAATTGGGAATGGGCTGAATTCAAAGATGAATTTGGTGAGAAGTGATATTGACTCTTTTAATATATAAGCATGATATCTCTTTATTTAGATGTTTTGATTTCTTCCTTAACAATGTTTTTTAGTATGCAGTATATAGTTCTTGTGCATATTATGTTAAATGTATCACTAAATATTTTGTGGTTTTGATACTATTGTCAGTGATATTGCTCATTTTTATTTTCCAGTTGATTATTGGCAGTGTATAAAAATACAACTACTTTTAATATATTGGCTATGTATATACTTATGTGTTCTCCAATCTTGCAAAATTTAATCATTAGTCTTCAGGACTCTCTGCATCCATTAATTAAGCTTTCTGTGAATATAGGCTGTTTTACTTCTTCCTTTCCAAACTTTAGGCCCTTTCTTTCTTTCCTTCCTTTTTTTCCTCTCTTTTTGTTTTCTTTTCAGGTCTTACGGCAATGGTTGTGACCAATGTAGTAAAATGCTGATTAGAAGTATTGAGAGCAAACATATTTTTCTTATTCCCAATCTTAGAAACAAAACATTCATCTTTTACCATTAAGTTGATGTTATCTGGAGGTCTTTTGTAGATGCCCTTGATCAGGTTAAAGAAGTTCCAGTCTATTCATAGTTTGCTGAGACATTTTATCGTGGATGAGTGTTAAATTTGTCACATTTTTCTTCTGCATCTATTGACTTAATCATATGATTTATCACTTTTATTCTGTTAATATGTTGGATTACATGGATTGTTTTGTAAATGTTAAGCTAGCCTTGGATTCTTGAAGAGAAGTGTCACTAGTTTGGGATGTTCATCATGTTAATGATTAAAATTTTGTTACATCTTTTTATGTTTATGTTCACAACACATAATGTGCTATAGTTTCTCACAATATCCTTGTCTACTTTTTTACAACTAGGGTTTTTTTTTTTTTCCTCACAAATTGAGTTGAGAAGTGTTCCCTTGTCCTCTATTTTCTGTAACAGATTGTGAAGAATTGGATTTTTTTTTAATAATAAAATTTCTAATGATGCCATCTGGGCTTAGAGTGTTGTCTGTGGGAAGTTTATTGATTTATTAATATATATTAACCTGTTAAAGATTATATACACATGTTGCTTTTAGTAGATATCAGGTTGGTTAGAAATTCAGTTTATTCAGTGTCCAATTTGCTTATTTTTTTTTTTCTAAGGAATTAGTCCTATTATTTAGGTTATTGAATTTGTCAACATAAAGTTGCTCTCGATATTTATTAGCTTTAATATGTAAAGGATCCTATAGCAATGACTCTTCCCCTTTTTCACTCCTGATGTTGGTGGTGGTGCTCCCTCCTTTGTTTGTCATCAGTTTAGGCAGAGTTTTATCAATCACATGGATCTTTGAAAAGAACCAACTTTCTGCTTCATGGATTTACTCAATTGTTTGTCTATATTCTTATACACTGGATTTCACTGACTTTCATTCTTTCTTTTCTTCCACTTACCTTGGATCTCATTTGCTTCTCCTTTTCTAGATTTTTAAATTATCTTAAATCAACAGTTCTCAAAGTTTTTGGTCTTAGGACCCCTTTAACTCTTAAAAAGTATTGGGGATTCTAAAGACCTTTCATTTCGTAATATATACTATGAACATCCGAAACTAAAAATGCTTTTAAACATAATAGACAATCACACATTTTATTAGCCATCAGAGAGATAATGTGATCAAACATTATGTAGCCTCTGGGAAACTCTACTGTACACTTATCAGGAAATGAAAGTGAAATGGTAAATAAAATCTTTTTTTTTTTTTTTAAATTTTAAAGTGTTTTAACCTCATAGACTGTTTCTGAAGGGATCTCAAGAGAATTCTTCAGGTTTCTCCAGACCATACTTTGAGAAATGCTATCTTAAGTCATTGATTTTTACATGTTTCTATTTTCTACTCAAAGCATTTAAAGTTATAAAACCCTAAAAACATTTGCTGCATCATGCAAAGTTTGATATATTGTATTTCTACTATTATTCAGTTCAAAACTTTTCTAAATTCCTTGGTGATTTCTTCTTTGAATTACGAAGTATTGGAAATGTGTGGTTTCATTTTCAAATATTTGATAATTTCCCATTTTTTTTTGTTATTTATATCTCATTTAATTCTGTTTTGCTCAGAAAACAGACTCTATCATTTTAATTCTTTTAAATCTATTGAGACTTGCTATAAGGCCACACATATGGTATATGTTGGTGAATCCTCCATGCATACTTGAATGTGTATTCTGCAGTTTGGCGTAGTGTTAAATAGGTTGACAATTTCCTTTAAAACATATATATTCTTTCTGATTTTTTGTGTATTTTTTCTATTATATTTTGTTTGAGAAGATGTATAATCATACAGAGAGAGACGTTAGGATATCTCCAACTCTAATTGTGGGCTTATCTGTTCATCTCTTTAGTTCTGCCAGTTCTTGCTTCATATATCAGAAGGGCTCCTATGAGAGTACAACCCATAAATCTTAATGAATAAACCTTTTTTTACTTAAGAAATAACGTTTTAATCTTGGTATTATTTCTTGTAGATTACTTTGGGATTAACATTACCACTCCAGCTTTCTTCTGATTCTTATTTTCATGGTACATCATTTTCCACACTTGTTTTTTGAGCTAGCTCTTTACAATTAAAGAGCATGTATGGTAAAAAGAACACAATTGGGCTTTGAGTTTTAATCCGTGTAACAATCTCTGCCTTTTATGTGCAATGTTTAATCCCTTTATATTTCATATAGTTAGGAGTATATTAAATATACTTTCAGTTCAGTTTAAGCCTACAGTAATGCTATGTATTTTCTCTCTTTGCCATATCTTCTTCATTCTTTTTTCTTTCTTTCTGTCCTTTTGGATAAATGGAATATTCTTATTATTATCTATTCCTCTAAGTTTAAATTTTTTTAGTTGCTCTAGGATTTACAATAACCCTTTTTAACTTACCACCTTCTACCATTTGTTTATATTATATAACTTCATGGATAATGTAATAAACAGAACAGTATACTTCCATTTATCTCCTACATTATTTATGTGACTATTTAAAAATTTTTTACTTTTACATACGTTAAAATCGCAATACATTGTTATCATTTTACTTCAAGTAGTCTATTATTATCTTTTTGTTTGTTTGTTTGTTTTGAGTCTCGCTCTGTCGCCCAGGCTGGAGTGCAATGGCACGATCTCAGCTCACTGCAACATCTGCCTCCTGGGTTCAAGCGATTCTTCTGCCTCAGCCTCCTGAGTAGCTGGGATTACAGGCATGCACTACCATGCCCGGCTAATTTTTTATTTTTAGTAGAGATGGGGTTTTACCATGTTGGTCAGGCTGGTCTTGAACTCCTGACCTCATGATCTGCCCAGATCGGCCTCCCATCAATTATCTTTTAAAGAAATTAAGGCATTAAATATAAATATTTTACATTTGCCATTTCCAGGGTTCTTCATTGTCTAGTATAAAGTTCCCATCAGGCACTACTTTTCTTCTACCAAAATAGATTGCTAGAACATCTTTTATTATATAAGCCTAGTAATGAAATATTCTCTTAGTGTTTTTTTTTTTTTATTTGCTGGGGGGAGGCAGAATATGTATTTATATAACATTCATTTTCAAGGGATATTTTTGCTGAATATAACATTCTATGTTAATCCTTTTTATTTTTTTTCTATCACTTTAAAGTTGTTATCTGATTGCTTCTGACCAGCATAGTTTCTGACGAGAAGGCATCAGTCATTTTTACCACTATTCTTCTGTGTAAACACATGTGTTCTTCTTCTGGCTTTTAATAAGATTTTTCTTGTTGCTTCAAGTGTTTTTTCTGTCCTAATATCTCTTTTCTCTCTTGTGACTTGCTTTACACATATATGAAATCTTTTGATATTTTTGATATTTTCACAGGTACTCTTGAGGCTCTGTTTCTTTATTTTTTCAATCTTTGTATGTGTGTACTGCAGTTTGTATCACTTCTATTGAATTATTTTCTAGTTAACTTTTTCTTCTGCAATGTCTAACCTGATGGTAAGTCTATCCAGTAAATTTTTCACTAAACATGTACATTTTTTAGTTATTCAATTTCCTTTTGGCTATTTTATAATTTTCCTCTGTTGATATTATCCATTTGTTTCTTGCATGTTCATGTTTTCTTTAAATCCTTGAACACAATTATGATACGTATATTTCAAATCTTCTTGCCAATTTCTTCATTTCTGGGTCTGTTTGTATTGAGTGCTTTTTCTCCTGGTTATGGACCACACTGTCTGGTAAAGTTATAAATTTAGGTCACACATTGTGGATGCCACATAACTGAGCAACTTGATTTTGTTGTTTGCCTCTAAAGAGGGTTGAATTTTCTTCTGGCAATCAATTAACTTACTTGGAGATGATGCTGATTTTTTTAGACTTGCTTTTCAGCTTTACTATACTGCTTCTGGAGTGGCCTTTATTATGGGAATACACTAATCCTACTTCCAAAGTATGGCTTTATGTGGTGACTACTGAATGCCCAAGATGTTCAGCGAGGTCTCTCTTCTGGCTGGTCAGAACTCAGATATCCCCAGTGCTATGTGAGCTCTGGCATCTCCATTGAACTCGCTGTTCCCCTGCAGTTATTCTTTCCCCAGCAGCTGTTCTTTATCCTACTTTCTCTCTGGAACCTCTCCCTGTGCATATGCAGCTTTCTATGTAGCCAAAGACTTGAGGGCTTTTCTATGGACATTCCTGGAGCTCCTTTCCTCCACAAATCCTTTCATGTTATTACCTAACTTAGAAAATCTTAGTTGTTTTAGTAATCCCAAACTCCAGTCTCCTTCCTCAGTTCAGCAAGACTGCGGTGGTCGGCTTGGGCTTCATCTCCTTGTTCTTCAGCCCAGGAGGGGTCTCCAGGAACAAAACTGAGGGTATTATGGGGTTGATTTCATTTGATTCCCTTTCTAAATTATCTCAGTTTATCTGTTCTCCAATATGTAAAAACGGTTTTTTCGATATATTGTATACTCATTTATGGAAGAAAGGCTGTCCTTGTTAGACCTGGTTTTCTGTTCATCTAATGGCCTCTTTCGCTTTTCAGCACCTGTGTATCCTGCTTTTGTTCTTCATCTCCTAGCAACCCATATCCTTTCAGACCACTGGGTGCTCAGGACCCACTGTGTTTATACAGGTCAGAATATATATATATTTTTATGCTATATATATTCTAATATACACACACATATATGTGTACATATATACACACATATATGATATACAAGTATATCATAAGTATATACAAGTATACATATACAAGTATATACAAGTATATGATATACATATATGTGTGTATATGCACACATATGTATACATGTATATGTGTACATATATTCATACTTGTATATAAAGTGTACATACTTGTGACCCAAGACAAAAATAGCAAATTCAACCTTCATTTCAGGGGTTGGAGGTTAAAATGATAGATTTCTATGGTAGAAATATTGCACTGATATTTAGTGGGCATTGTGGAATGGTACTGTTTCTAAGCATTTGCTCATATATACTCCTGAGTTTTCAATTAATGTGACCTCATCACCTGCAGATGTCCTCCTGCTTCCATAAAACTACTCAGGAAATATAGCCAGCCTAAAATTTATCTTCCTTCAGGCCCTTTCTTCAAAAGCAAGGTTCTTGAGACATTTTTCTACACATTCTGGGTCTAAGAGAAATTTGGTCCCAGGAAGTTGGCTTGAAGCATGAAGCATGGCTCTTTTAACAGAAATTTCATTTGGCTGATGCCCCTCTTACAGTAAAAATCAAAGACATACGCATTTGGGTAGTTTTCTGGGGTCTTCTGATGCCGGTGTGGTGTCATAGATGACCAAGATTGACACTTCTTTCCTGTGGTGGTGGTGGAGGATGTGCCTCGGTAGCTCTGCCCATCACCATGGTAGCACTCCTGGACCACAGGGGTAAGCTCAGGTGGTGCTGAAATTAAAATAAAAGAAATCAAGCTTAACAATTACTGAAAAAAAAAGAAGCATGACGCAATTTATGACAAAAACAATACAGTAGCCTCTGAGAATTATGACTGTTCTCTTTTCTGTATTAGCAGACAGATTAACATAAAAAATAGATTTATAGCATTGTAGAACATTAATAAGTTCTTAGTAATATTTCACTTAAAACCTGGGTGGGAAAGAACAGATAGAGTACTTAAAATTGGAAACTGCATTTATGTGCAAGCTCTTTTTTATGGATCTCTACTGAGTGTTCATGAGAACAAGAGGGCAGATGAGAGGAGGATGCATTAGGCAGTGCAGACTGTGAATGGTGTGTGGCTGTCAGTCGGGGGCAGACATGAAACCTTTGCACATTTCTCTAGATCCTTCCCCAAACAAAGCCAAAGACCAAAGCTTCTGGGTGATAGGGCAGGAGATGGCCCTGCATCTAGGACTGCAGGCAAAGATCCACAGCTTCTAAGAGAGTGGTGGAGCCAAAAATCTTATTCCCTTGGAGAAGTTACAGGGAATCCTCTTGTGCCCAACATCCTGCATTGCAATGAAACAGAAGCCTACTACTCTTTCTTTCCAAACCCACCACAGGTACAAGTTTCATCAGGAGGAGGCAAAAGAACACTGAAAAATCACTACTTTCAAAGCCGAGCTGTGCTCAACTGGCCTAAGAGGGAGGTAGGCCAGGGAGATAAGTATTCTCCTATGTCCACCAAAAAGTGAGCACTCAGTAACAAGAAACAGCCTGGTGTCCGTGGGGTTAGATTATGTGTATGAAGATATCTCCTCTGTAGTGCAGGCATGCAGTGACTGCTGAAATCTGGAGAAAACTCTTCAGCACCCCAGGCCCCACTCTAAGCAAAAGATAGCAGCAGCACATCACTGGAGGAATTTATTTCTGTTTTGCACTTAAGGTAAAACTAGCAACCACAAATCCCAAATTCAGTTAAACTAGTGACTACATTGACTCAATTATCCACAACATATATTTGCAAGAGAAGGGTGTCCGTTTCAAAGTATAAATAATATTTACTGTAACCTCTACTGTTCTTCTATTTATAATGTCTTGTGTTTGATTAAAGAATTACAAGACACACCAAAAACCCAAGGGGGGAAAAAAAGCCACTGTTGAATAATAAAGCAATCCAGAGAAGTCAGACTTACAGAAGATGCCATCTGGAAGCTATCAGATTGGGATTGTGTGATACCTACGTTAATATGTTAAACGATCTTGTCGTAATGGTGGACAATATGCATGGATAGGTAGAGAATTTCAGCAAAGAGATGGAAACTATAGAAAAGAGTAACATGAAAATGCTAGAAAAAAAGTCACAATATCAGAGATGAAGAATTCTCTCAGTGGGCTGAGGAGATGACTAGACACAACTGACAAAATAATCCATAAACTTGGAAATAGTTACTAGAACTTATCCAAACCAACACACAAAGAGAGAAAAAGAGTTACTGAAAAAAAAAAAGAGAAGAACAAGCTTACAAGATTTATGAAACAACATGAATGTTCTAACACATGGGTACTTAGAGTCCCAAAAGGAAAATACAAAGAGAGAAAAGTGAAAAAAGAAACATTTGAACATATAATGGCTATGAATTTTACAAGGACAATGAAAATCGACAATCTAGGCTGGGCACAGTTGCTCACACCTGTACTGTCAGCACTTTGGGAGGCCAAGGTGATGGATCATCTGAGGTCAGAGTTTGAGACCAGCCCGGCCAACGTGGCAAAACTCTGTCTCTACCAAAAATACAAAAATTAGCTGGGCCTGGTGGCACATGCCTGTAGTCCCAGCTACTCAGGAAGCTGAAGCAGGAGAATCACTTGAACCTGGGATGTAGAGGTTGCAGTGAGCCGAGATTGCGCCACTGCACTCCAGCCTGGGTGACAGAGTGAGGCTCCATCTCAAAAAAAAAAAAAAAAAAAAAAAAAAAAAAAGAGAGAGAAAAGAAAAAAATCAACAATTTATAAATCTAGGAACTCAGAATATCTCAAGCAGATTAAACACAAAGAAATTCATAATAAACACATCATAGTCAAACTGTTGAATAACAAAGATGAGTAAATCTTAAAGGTAGTCAGAGAAAAATGACCTATTGAAAACATAGGAACAAAGATCAGATTTCTAGTCAAACTATTTAAAACAGAAGATAATGGAACATCATCATTAAAGCGTTGCAAGGAATGAAACTCTCAACTCAGTGTTTATATTCAGCAAAATTACTTTTAAAAACTGAAGGCAAAATACTTTTTCAGACACTGAAAATCTGAAAGACTTCAACAGTAGCAGACCTGTGCTACAAAAAATGCTAAAGGTTGTTTTTCACAGAAAGAATCTGACACCAGATGGAAATTGAGATCTACCTCAAAAGATGAGAAGCACCAGAAATGTAAAATAAAGAAAGAAAGAAAATATTTAAAATAGTTTTATTCTTAATCACTTTAAGACACAACTAATTAGGGCAAAAATAGTGTTAATGTATTGTGAGATCTATGACATAGTAGAAGTAAGCTTCTATTCCAAAGAGTGATAGTGTAGCATTTTGGGAGGGTGGAAGTAGAATTGCAATGATGTAAAGTTTTTGTATGTCAAGTAGAATTATATCATTTGAAGGTGGAATGTGAAAAGTCAAAAATGTATATTACATTGTAGAAAATACTAAAACCATTAAAAATTAATGTAATAAGTAAGTAGTGGAGATAAACTCAATCTGAATGAAGGCAGAAAAAGATGAAAAAAGGAACAAAGTTTAAATGGGACAAAAAGAAATAACTAACTTGATGGTATATATAAATTCAACTCTATTAACAATTGCATTAATGCAAATGGTTTGAACATCTCAATTTAAAAGCTGAGATAAATTTAAAAGAGATACAAATTTAAAAGATATATCATACAAATACTAGTGAAAATAGAGCTGTAAGACTGTATTTATATCACCATAAAGAGAGTTCAGAACTTCAGAAAAAGGAATATTCCCAGAGATAAGAAGAAACATTACATAATGATAAAGGAGTCCTTTCATCAAGAAGACATAACAATCCTAAATAAATATGTGCCTAACAACAGAGCTTCAAAATATACAAAACAGAGTTATGATCTAAAAGAGAAATAGACTAATCTACAGTTAAAGTTGGACACATCACCATTCATCCTCAGTAGTCAATGAAGGAGGAGACAGACAATCAGTAAGGATACAGAAGAACACCAGCAACCAACTTCACCTAAATGACCTTGAGGGAACATCCCACCCAACAACAACAGAAGACACATTCTTTTCAAGAGCACATGAAACATTCACCGAGATGACTATATCCTGAACCATAAGACAAACCTCAACAAATCTAAAATAACTGAAATCATATAGGGCACACTCTCTGACCACAATAGCATTAAACTAACAAAGCTACTGTATATTGTGATGACGCCACTGGTGTACAAAAATAAGGAGAGCACTTGGGCCCTCAGTAAGCTCCCATACCCTTGCTTACCTGTGGGATCCAATGGTTCCGTGGATACTGGGGAGGACTCACAGGACGGTATCTTACAGTACTCCCACCGCACTTGGCTGTCGGTTGTATAGCACCATGGGGCCTTTTCTCCATCAGGATTGCGGCAGTAGTTTTCATCCAAATTTCTGAAAAAGAAGTGGTTGTGAGTTTAGCTTTCCAAAAAAAAAAAAAGTCTGGGGAACCACACTTTGAGAACAACTGTTATGGGAAAAAACGTGCTAAAGTTCATTTCCTTTACTTATGACTAGATCAGTTTTTCTTTGAGAATACTTTATCCTGCATTCCTATAGTAACTAAAACTAAGGCAAAGTCAATGGGATTTCACATTCCATAGCAGCAGAATGAGACTGGAGGGGACTTACTTGCAGGGAAAGTTTTCTGGTGTCCTGTTATGTGTGTGAGGGGTCTGTGCACTCCAGCGCTGACAGGTGTGCCCGGACACGGTAACAGCCACATCTCCGCGATAGTTTTCACCTGTTCCCTTCAGACACTGGTAGGTGGGACCAGAAGATGGTGGAGGTGTTGCTTGAATGGGAAAAATAAATTACAACGAATAATTTTTTTCTTTTTGAGACAGACTCTCACTCTGTTGCCCAGACTGGAGTCAGTGGCACGATCTCAGCTCACTGCAAACTCCACCTCCCAGGTTCAAGTCTTTCTCCTGCCTCAGACTCCCAAGTAGCTCAGAATATAGGAGAGTGTCACCATGCCTGGCTAATTTTTTTGTATTTTTAGTAGAGGTGGGGTTTCACCATATCGGCCAAGCTGGTCTTGAACTCCTGACCTTGTGATCTGCCTGCCTCTGCCTCCCAAAGTGCTGGGATTACAGGCATGAGCCACTGTGCCCAGCCCTACAATGAATAATTTCAAAATAGAGAACGCACAGATGGATGTTATTAAGGAGGATGGCTGCAGGGTGCTCTGGCCTGCTTGTCTTCTCCTCAGCCTCTCTTGGAGTTTGGCACTTGAAAATTGTTTCAAGTTTTCAGAAGAAATAAATTTAGTAGCATCTATGCCTGTGAGACCCTTTCATGAGGAACTCCTTCAGGGAAAGACCCTTGGGTAGATGCTTCTTTCTATGTTCTCTTTGCTCAGTTCTTCCTACCTGGTAAGTATCAACACATGTCACCTCCCACCCCGAATTCTCACAGACACCAAAGGTCCACTCTATTTCCTGAAGAATAAATTATTCACTGAGTAGACATGACTGAATGGCACCCAACATTCCATAAAAGCCAAACAGCAGGGAAAGAGTCCATGGAAAGAAGGCAAAAAACACCTCCAAGGAAAAGTGTGTGCATCCGGAAATCAAGACATTCTTGAGGAAAAAAAGAAGATGACAAAAAGAGAAACTGAAAAAAGGAGAAATTGATATTCACACAAAGGGAGAATGCCTGAGGAACTTCTGCTTTCGAAGGACACGTGTCAGAGGAAAGGAGGGGAGGCCAACCCTCACTGAATCCTTTTTAACCTTTCATGCCTGTCTTTGTCTTAGTGTGTAATCCTTTGCTTCAAATTCTCAGAGAGGAAAATACGATAAAATTGTTTACTCCACATCATTTCTACTAGGTCTGCCATTTCATCTTCTCCTCCTGAACTCTTCCCCACCCCCACCCCTCACCCTCTGCTCCCCAAGTTGGAAAAACTAGACACCCACAGACCTGAACATTGTAAACAAAGACACTCTTTGTTTACAAAACAACTATTAGAACTCTGGTTAAAATGAAATTCATGTGTCAGAGAGCATGGGTCTGATTTCCTTTTAGCACAGAGAAAAGTAGAATAGGACAAACAACACCCAAAGCCTACATTTCAGTGAACTTCTGAGGCGGAAGTTTCAGATGCAAAGAAAGAAAAATATGATAAATGGATGCTCTGATCAATCACCTACAGTAACCAATAACCATAACTCTTTTAAACCAGCAATAAAATAAAGACCAATAACATCCCATAGGACTCGTAGGTCACTTTTCAGAGGCTGCCCTCAGGCACTGACACGTGTTTTCTTCTGATTTCAAGAACAGGGCAGGTCAGAATCCTGGAATCTGGGTGTACGCCATACTCACTGCAGCGGGGGATGTCGCAAAGTTCCCAGCGCTTGTTGGGGTCGGTGGTGAAACACCAAGGCCGTGGCTCCCCATCGGGGTTACGACAGTAATTCTTCTTCAGGTTCTTGTTTGGAAATCTGAATGGACAAGAAATATTTTAGTAGCATGGAACATTTACGTTCACGGATGAGACTCTTTTTCAAGAGCAAACATTGAGCACCTGCTGTGTGCTAGGCACAGTTGGGCACGGAGGAGGTAATTGGATGAAGGCTGTGTTCAGAGATGGCAACTAGGAAACAAGGCTGGCCCCGTATTCCAAGGACTTTCTTTTTCTGTTTTGTTTTCAGAGACAAGGTCCCACTTATTGCCCAGGCTTGACTTGAACTCCTTGAACTCACTCAAGCAATCCTCCCGCTTCCACCCTTTAAGTAACTAGGACTACAGGCATGTGCCACCATGCCCAGCTGCCAAGCACTGTTTTACTAACAGTTTACATGTGTAAAAATCACTCAACAGAATCAGTGACCTTATCATTTTGGCTATCTGGAAAACTGATGTAAGCAAACTCCAGTTATTCAACCACAAGTAATAGCAGTCTTTAAAATGCAAAGTGCTCCCTGACTAAAGATACTCATCTAGTACCTAATAGAGCCAAGAAATGGGCATCTTCGTAACTTAAAGGAATGGTCTTCTGATTTACCAGGCTCTGCTCCCACCAGCCTTGAAGCTTAGAAAAACCAAGAGGAGAAGCTGTGCTCCTGCAAGGGTCTCACCATGCAGTATGGGCTGGATCCTTCCTCAGTGGGGCCCAGTGGCTAGGGCTGTTGGATGCACTCCATGCCTGGTGGCCCTCTGCACTTATTCATTCCCTCTCTGAGATTGTAAATGCTTACTAGGATGGAAAGAGGAGCCAGCAGCGGCTTAAGCAATCCTCTTCTCCTTCTGGTTTCCTGGAAGTGACTTTACCCAGTTTTGGACCATTAGGCCTTTCCTGTATTTCTCCTTTGAAGGAAAATGGCAGCTGCTGTGTTTTAAGCTAGCGATTTGGAGTGGGAGGTGTACAAATTCAGTAGAGCTGCTTTCCACAGTGGAATCTGTGGCTCAACCTCATTTCTGCTTTCTTGAAAGCCCTGGTATGGCCCTGTAGTCATTATAGAAGGAAGAGAAAGACCAGAAGCCACTGTGGAATGGGAGGTGTTTTCCAGCACAATTAATGTGAAATAGAATACTCACACAACCTTATTCTTGGAAACATCGTGACTTTCTAGAGCAAGAAGCTTATTGTCATTCTAAATTCATGGTCCCCTTAGAGAATCTAATGGAAGTTATGAATCCTCATTCCAGAAAAATGCACTGATGTAAATACACATAAAACATCTGGGATTCACAAATCCATGATATCTGCTCATAGGTCAAAGGTTAGGAGACATGAATCTTATTGGTACGAAGGGAAAAGAAAGACAAGGAGTAAAGAGAAAAGAAAAATATTTGGGAAATACACCAGCAACATGTGTGTGTGTATTTCTCAAGACAGATGTTAATGTATTCATACCCACATTAGTGTTTGAATGTGTGTGTGCATCAGCTGAGGATCTGGTTATTAAGCAAATCAGATTCAGAGGGTGTGACATTCTGGATTTCCAACAAATTCTTAGAAAACATCCCTGCTGCTGACCCACGGACCACATTTTGAGCAGCAAGAATGCGTATTTCACTTGCAGTCTTGTGGGAGGATGTTAGCTTTGAAATTAAAAACATCAGACGTTCACTTCTTGAGGAATGCTAAAATATTTAAATAAAAGCAAATGTCTGATAAAGCTGCAGAGACTTAAACGTGGAAATGTTTTTCCCAGTGAGACTTACTTGGAAGGAATGTATCCATGAGCGTGTGGGCTCTGAGAGTCCCAGGCCTGGCATTCCAGTCCAGACATGGTCTTGGAAATTTTGCCATCATAATTTTCTCCACTGCAATGCATACATTCATCTGGACAGAGTGGGAAGGAAGGACAGAGAGGAAGAAGAAAACTGAGATGGATGAAGCAAAATAGACATTAAACACCAGAATCCTACTCACTTAAGTGCGACTTGCCCCTCATTCCGATGTAATTCACAACAGGCACTTGGCAATAAAATTGGCAATAAGGACTCAGGATTTTCTAACATAATCCAAATGTCATTTTCCTTTTAAACCGTAGCATTCACATATTTTAGTCAATACCCCCTCAACTATTGTAGTCGTGGCCAAATGCAGAATTTCCATGAGGCCATGTCCTTAAACCAGGATGTGCAGGCCAGTGGGGAGCCAGGGGTGCATATATTCTCAGGAGTCTACATTCTCCATTAGGAGTTTTCAATATTTGGCATCTTCATTTCAATAATGATCTTTACAACTTTGTATGAAATTATTCTGATCATTCCGTTGACTGCTGAATGAGCTGGCACCTTCTCAGGGTTTTAGTCTGGAGTTTTTGTTTATGCTCATGACCTCATGGAGAACAATATTCACCTGAAGTGACAGCGCTTCTCTTTTTATATTGTTGAGAAGCAGGATTGGCTTTTTTTTGCAAAATTATTTGCAAACTTAAACTTTGATTCAGAATGATTGAAGTAACATGGTGAGGCAGAGTAATATGGGACTTAAATTTTATGGAGTACTAAGGAAAACAGGGGCAGACTTAATATAAAAGTGATGCATTGGTGGCACTTAAGGACAAGTACCTATAGCATGGTGTACAAATAAAGGACCCCCGTGATTCAAGTAGGTGGAAGTGATGTTAGAACTGAGTTGTCACACAGCACCACATCCATACTGTCACACACCAATCTCACCTTTATTCATTCCCTTTTGCACTAACAAATGTAGCCAGAAATGTGAAATGAAGACAGATTTTTCAGTAGGATTTAAAAAAAAATTTTTAGCATTGACCTTTGAGGTGCACTATTAAATTGGTCAGTCCATGAAAATAATGGATTGCTGATTTGAAAACTGGTTCCTTGTTTAGCTTCAACAAAACAGCGAAGTTTACCGCATCAAATGTGTATTGTTTATTTGATTTTTATTGATTTTGTTGTTTTATTTTAACTACTTAATTGCAAATCTGTCTTGGGGTTAACACTGTGTAAGAGTTTTAAGCATAAGAAGTTTGTACTTAGAGTTTAGATTTAGTTTTTTTTTTTTTTTTTGAGATGGAGTCTCACTCTGTCGCCCAGGCTGGAACGCAGTGGCGCGATCTCGGCTCACTGCAAGCTCCGCCTCCCGGGTTCACGCCATTCTCCTGCCTCAGCCTCCCAAGTAGCTGGGACTACAGGCGCCCGCCACCTCGCCCGGCTAATTTTTTGTATTTTTAGTAGAGACGGGGTTTCACCGTGTTAGCCAGGATGGTCTCGATCTGCCGACCTCGTGATCCACCCGCCTCGGCCTCCCAAAGTGCTGGGATTACAGGCGTTAGCCACCGCGCCCAGCCTAGATTTAGTTTTATATTTGTACATGTTGATACAGTATTTTAATAAAAATAATTCAGGTCGACTGGGCATGGTGGCTCACGCCTGTAATCCCAGCATTTTGGGATGCTGAGGCAGGCAGATCACCTGAGGTCGAGAGTTCAAGACCAGCCTGACCAACATGGAGAAGCCCTGTCTCTACTAAAAATACAAAATTAGCCAGACTTGGTGGCACATGCCTGTAATCCCAGCTACTTGGGAGGCTGAGGTAAGAGAATCACTTGAACCTCGAGGCGGAGGTTGTGGTGAGCCGAGATCGCACCATTGCACTCCAGCCTGGGCAACAAGAGCAAAACTCTGTCTCAGAAAAAAAAAAATTCAGGTTAATTCTGGGGGTCTAAACAAAGTTTAGCTCCTTTCCGAGAGGTGAATACGTTACTCAATTATTAATAATATCCTTGTGGGAAGGGGCTTGGCAACAAATTATTTTACAGGGTGAAGGGCAGAAATGAAAACATTTTCTAGAGCCACTTCTGACCTTCACACTCGGGAATGTCGCAGTAGTCAAATCTCTGTTCTGGATCAGTAGTGTAGCACCAGGGCCCCTGCCCATCGTTGTCTGGGTTCCTGCAGTAGTTCTCCTCCAGTCCCTCTGAAGGGTGTGTAGCAGGTGAGAATCTGGGGAGGATGGAAAAGAAGCACTTAGACTATGTTCTAAAAATCAGCTTGCTATTAGCAAGGCAGAAGGAGACACTCTTGATTCTCATCTGAGATTGTCATCCAAATGCATTTCAGCTGGGTGCTGCAGCATTTGCGTGGCCAGATTTTCAATTTCTCTATTGATAGGCTGCTTCTGGCACAGTAGCTAATATTACCATTGCTACTGTGACAGCCAAGGCTTAGACAAAGAGTCAAGGTATTTTTATTGCACAGTCAGGAGAAATATAAAGGCCTCAAAAGCCTGCCATGGTCTTAATTCATTCCAAACACCTGCTTTTGTCACTTACCTTTCTCCCTGTAAAAATTCTCGTAGTTAATACCGTTTTGTCCATGTGAACTATGTGCCAGGAATTCCACTAACATCTTTCTACACATTCTCTCTTTTAGTCCTAATAACAAAAACCATTTGAGGAAGATGTTATTATCCCTGTTTTACAGAAGGGAAGACTGAGTGGCAACGTAAAACAAAACAAAACAAAACGTTCCTAAGCGTAAATAGCTATGAAGAAGCAGATCAAGAATTCAAAGTTGATCTGTCTGATTCCAAAATCCTAGTTTTCTCTGAAATGCAGCTTGACTTAATGGGAGATGGAGGAGGGAGTTAAGCTTATTTTCAGTTCTAGAGATGAGTTGCTGTATAGAGACAACCATTTAGATGAAAATCACAAGACTTGCAGTCTAGAAAGGCAGATTTTATTTCTGGTTCTTCTGTGAACCTATTTGGGGTAACCCCACCCCCCCAAGACCTCAATTCCCTCATAAAGATAAGCCTAGACTACCTCGTAAAAATGGCCCAGAGTGTCTCCATGGCCCTTGATAGTCCCTGACTTCGCCATTTGGTTGAATCAGTTTTCATTATCTCATGGGGAATATTCGATCTGCTCATCTCATAGGGATATAGCAAAGGCAATTTGTTGAGTGTTGTGGGAATGGATAAAGGTGAGTAACAGGCACTAATTTCCTATTTGATAAGTGTCATTACTGAGAACTTAATGCCACCTAACACCAAACTGGGAAAAGTACAAAAAATGCACCAAAATAAATAATAGGCAAGTTGCGAGATTTGAATTTCACGTATCTTCATTTTCATTTTTATATTTTATTTACTCTTTTGCTCCACAATTTGAGTCGAACATGTGATGAGAGTTCTAACTTGATAGGTTTACTTCAGTCCCAAACATAGTCATCTTTGGTCTTTTCTCAGATTTGGCCTAAAACTCATAGTTTCATTGATTTTGTTTTTAACTAGGCATTCTTCTATGTCCTAGGTCTTCAAGAAACCTCCACACCCAAGGAAAAATAGAAAGTAACCATGTTCTACTGTGGTGCTATAAATAATTGAACATCGACATCAAAAAGATTCTTTCTGTCTGCTTATTCACATATTCTGGTTTGAATTAAAACTGATGAAATTATCCTAAATACAGTTGGCCCTCTGTATCCATGGGTTCCACATCCACAAATTCAACTAACTGTGGATGGAAAAGACTTGAAAAAGATGAGATAAAATAACAATATGACAATAAAACACAATACAAATAAAAACAATACTGTATAACAACGATTACATAGCATTTACATTATATTAGGTATTATACAAGAGAATGTATGTAGATTATATGCAAATACTGCACCATTTTATATAAAGGACTTGGGAAGCACAGATTTTGGTAGCCACAAGGGTCCTGGAATCAATCCCCCACAGACACAGAGGGACAACTGTACAGTAGATGAACACAAAGATGAAAGGGAAAGTCTTACTTAGGTCTGTGGGGAGAAGTGGAACTCCATTTTTGACAGGTGACGCCATTTTTTGTTTTGGACATCGTCCCTCTGTAATTCTTTCCATTCCCAGTCTTGCACTCTGAAAGATACACTGAAGGGAAGTCCACACAGTGGTCAAAGTCTTTCACAAGACACCACATGAAGGTCTGCACAGCACAGTCACGTTGAGAGAAAGATCTCATGCACCAGACCCCTTGTTTCTGCTTTCTAAAAGATCATCTTTTGTATCTGCAAAAAGGCTGCAGTAAACCGAGCCATTCCATACTTTGATTCATATATTCAAATGCTACTTATGAGCTCTCTGTGTATCCAGCCCCACCAGGATGCTGGGGACAGATGGGGCACAGTGCAGCCAGAGGCCTGGCCATCATGGAGCTCACGTTCTAGTGGGATCAGGCAGGAGGGTTACAGGAAATATTCAAGGAAAGAATATGAAATGAGATCACTTCATGATGATACATGTTACATACATGATGAGAGAGAGTGAGAGAATGGGGAAAGGGCTTTTTAGATGGGGGAACGGCAGGCTTTTCAGAGACTGAAAGAGATCCAACCCACTTCTATTTCTTCAGGCACCCAGTGATATGAAAAAGTGCCAGACAGGGCTATAAAATTGTGGTCTATTGTAAATGGTTTGCAGTAAAAGTTCTCAACCAGCTTCCCCTCAACCAACTCACTAGTTAGCCAATGGGCCCTCTCCTGCCTTTAAAACAGTCTGGTGCCCACCTGGGTCCACATGCAGCTGGCAGGTGTTTGTTAGTGTGCCCACCCGTATCTGTTCCCCCCACATGAGTTATATGCTTACAACGAGTCATTTCTTGGCATTTTCCAACTTTCTTATAGTTATATTTAATCAAAGATGATCTAAACTGAGAAATGAACGTGAAAAGAAACAAAGCTCTTTTTTTGTTTGTTTTTTTTTAACTAAATTAAATGTTTTTAAGGAGTTGAAACATGAATCATTTAAAAAATTGCTATCAAATCCATGGAGGGCAACCCACTCATATAGTTGACTATAAAGCTTGAGGAGGAACTCATAAAAATCTAAAGGTTTTACACATTCAGATTGATTAATAAATGTCGAGATATGGTCCACTTCAAAAATAAGGAAAGTGATGATTTTAGATATTGCACTAGAGCATAGTTTATGCAGGAAATGCACCAGAGACCTTCTACTGGTGACCCCATATTCAAAGAAAAAAAGCCTCTGCTCTACCTCAAAAGGTGTCAGGTACACTTGTGTTTTCAATGAAAATACAAAATGTTTAAGATATATTTGAACCATCATTTAATGTTACCTACTTTAGTCGTTTTTTAATTCACTGATCCATCACTTGGGGAAAGTACTCCTAACATACCTACAGCAAACTAATGCTTTTAACCCAATACTACGTATTATGATTACAAGTACATCTTCATTGGGACCTAGTATTACAGTAGACATAAGATACTCATCAAAAGTGTAAACTCAAGGTACTTTGTGAAAGGGAGGTCTAGGGGTCAAGGAAGATTTGCAAAGGAGGTGATGATTGGGCTGACACCTAGGAGACAAGAAGGAGCTGGCACAGCAGGACAAAGGTGAAGAGGGTCCCAGGCAGGAGGGCGTGTGCTTGGAGTGGTGAAGGAACAGAGGTAAGGCCAGTGTAGAAAAGTTTAGCAAGCCAAGCAAACAGCAGCCGGGGGTTACTTAAATAATGCCGGGCCCTAGCACATTTGGAAAGTCTTTGGGTCTTATTTTAAGGGCACTGGGAAGGGCTTTAAACAGGGCAGTTACATTTCTAAGAGGTCATGTGTACAGCTACAAGTAGCCCCAACCAGTGGTGATAGGGTCTTGGACTTGGTGAAGGCAGTGTGGCTAGTGGCAAGTGGCAGAAGTAAATGTGATCTAACACTGTTCCTGGCAAAACCCTGGCAGGTAAGTTAGCAGCAGGTCAATATCCCACAGCAAAGAAACAAGGACCAAAAAAAATGACTGACTTTTGACTTTTCGCTTCTCTTTTGTTTGTATGTACCCACCAGAGTTTACATAACCTTTTGCTCCCTTCTGTCACTTTGAAAACAAGCAAACTAAGCCTTCAAACTTCAGACTTCAAACTCAACCTACAGTCATTCCTATGTTCCTTCTGGTTAACAATTTACAAATGACATATTTAAATGTTAGCATTTTGTAGACAGAATCAGGCTTTTTTTTTTTTTTTTTTTTTTAAATCTGGTACAATTAGGTGATCCTATTTACTTTACTGCTTGCTTGCTACTTGTAAGAACTAATAACTTCACCAGATAAAGTTTAGATTTAATCTATACTTTAATCTCAAGAATTAGAGATAAACAGTGGTAAGGAAGAAAGTACAATGCATACAACTAATGAAACCCAGGAAGATGAGTTAATGCGTAGAAATAATTCCAACCCAAATAAATACTATTTAAAATGCGACTTGGAGTTTTGCTGTGATACTAGACACAATATGGCAAATCATCCTCAAGAATACAAGGACTAAGGTGTTTCCAGTCCTCTTTAACACTTGTGATGCAGAATATTTGGAGAGCTAAATTGTTATTATTAACGGTCTTAATACCTGGCCACCAACATAGTGTAGGAAACAGTTTTTAAAGTGTCATACATCCCTTCAAATCTTCATACGCTTAATGAAACATTTGCACATCTAAAAAGGCATGCAATTTCTATTGAAATCCCATCTACCTCTTATTCTAAACAGTGGGACTATTGACCCACATTTTAAAATAAACTATAAAAAAGGAACTGTAACTTTTGCACATTTTTAAAAGACAACATTTAAGAAATCTGAGAAAAATATAGACCATGTCTCCCAAAATGTGAGTAAGAATGAAAATAAGATTTGTGTCCCAATCCAAATGTTTCTGAGGATTAGAACACCTCAGTATTTCTATTTTACAAGACTTCGTCCAGATGATAGGGCCCAAGGACCATGGTCCCCCTGCAGAATAAGAAGCCAAGATCAAAAGGAATGCTTAGACTTCCCATCTCCTTGTTAAATATAAAATAATATTTTAAAAATCTTATTTTCAGAGTCATAGAGGTAGAAATGATTTTGTAAATCCAGTCGTTTCATGTTTTGAACAACAAAAAAATTAAACCCAAGAGGTGAAGTAATATACTCAAGCTGACATGGCTAGTTAGTAATCAAATCCTGTTCTAACTCAGAATTCAATTTTACGACCCCATAGTGCCTTCCTCCTCCGGTCTTATAAATTAAAGATAGAATAGACAAGGAGGAAGAGTGGGAGGATGGGGAGGACAGAAGGAGGAGGAGGAAGAAAATGTACTCACCTTTCTTTTCAAATAAAACGACATCTCTCATCCTAAAGACAATGGAGGACTTCCTGTTTTCAGCCATTATCACACATTGTTGCTCTTTACTGTGATATTGGAATGACCTGCAGAAAAAAGCAGGAAATCCAATAAGTGTTTTACTTTATTTAAAGAAAACAAATGTTTATTAATAAGTGATGTGATACATGCTAAAGATCATTGAATCTCTTGATGGACCAGGGAGTTCAGAACTGCTGCGTGTCAGTTATTTGGGCATGGCATCAATGAAGTACTGAACAAAATACACCAACGTGGCAGTAAATCTTGTTGTCTCCTGCCCCTACCTTCCCTCCCTCATAATTTTCTCTTTCTTTTTGTTTCAACTGCTTTACTTCTTCTTTACTCATCCTCTTAATTTTTGTTTTTGGGTTGGAAAGAAGCAACTCTGGTTGCTTTGAACCCATTCCCCAAGATAGTCCATCTTCGTGACCTCCCAACTCTGATCAGTTCCCCTGAACCTCTGCTCCACATTCCACCCCGCCCTGGCCCCTGACCCCTCCCATCTCCATCTCGTGGTCCTGCCGTGGGTGCTCAGTCTGGCATCCATAGCTACCTTCCCAGGCCCATCACCTACATAAAGTCTCTACTTTAGTCAACTTGATCTCTTAATGGTCCCCCTGAGAAGGTGCAGGGCTGCATCTTCCCCTGCCTACCTGGTGCTTGTCAAGAGCTCTCTCAACTCCAAACCCAGCTCAGTTCCCACCTCCTCCCTGAGCCTTCTCTAGCTGCCTCAACCTTAGGCACTGTTCTTTCCTCTGGATCTGGGTAGAGCATGCATTGATTATGCCTGTACCTCACTTGGGCTGTCTTTTTTTTTTTTTTTAACATTATTGCAGTACCTCACTTGGACTGTCTTTTTTTTTTTTTTTTAAACATTATATCCAGTTTCTTTGACTACACCTTAAATACTAAAGGGCAGGCAGTGGATCTTGTAACTATAAGTCATTGCTCAGATCTATCTAGGACACTTTCATTCACATGATCCTCAACAAACATTTACTGATGATCATGTTAAAAACTGGAGCTCAGAACAATAGCTGCTAATATTTATGTCCGGTGTAAAAACAAATAATTTCCTTTTAGGGTATTTTTCTAACAAAGACTCCAATAAACCTTAACAAGAAGCTGTTAGTATGGCTTCACATACTTTGAGCAAATACAGTTCCAAACTCTGATTCCATCAATTTCTCTTTCCTCTTAAATCGTCAATACATTTGTGAGTAAATTACTTGCCATCCGAATTACAGATTTCTGGGTAGGTGCAACAACAGTGGAAATACCTGCAGGTGAATTCTTCCTCCTCCTCACATTTTGCTGCACATTCTTCTATGCTTCCTGCCCCCAGCTGCTTCTTAGTGATGCTGAACAGTGAAGCCCCCTGGGTATTCACATAGTCATCCAGAGGCTCTCCTTGACCTGCAGGTGGGAGATCCAAGTGGAACAAATGGTCAGGAAATCAATGCCAATGTCGAATTGTCATGACTTCCTTTGAAGCTATTTGGTTAGCATTAACCAAATAAAACTTGCTGTTTACTGGAAGTAGAATGGGTAGCTATGAATCAAATGTTTAGTTAAGAACACAGAGTCGGGCCTGTGGATATAAATAAAGATGGCAACAAAAGACACTGGGGACTGCCAGAGAAGGGAGAGAGGGAGGGAGGTGAGGGCTGAAAAACTACCTATTTAGTAGGTATTTAGCTCACTGCTTTGGTGATGGGATCATTTGTACCCCAAAGCTCGGTGTCACGCGATTTAGTTATGTAACAAACCTGCACATGTACCCCGACTCTAAAAGTTGAAATTATAAAACAAAGAAAAACAGTTTCATTAACAGATTGCAAGATAGTAAAAGATTAACTGGATTGATAAACAGGTTAGAACTATGGAACCACTATGTTACCACATTAATGGAGATAAATCCTTAAATAAGAACAAATTATGTTTGCTATCGATTGTGCCATGTCATGAGAGAAGAGTAAGGCACCACCAGTGGCAGTTGTGTTACCAAGATTGATGTTGATTTGTTCATCCCTGGGTAGAAATGGAACTTGGAGGCCATTGTTTGATTTCTTACGATATGCGCTTTGGTTCTGACACTGTCACTTTAACTGGTGGGGGGCATCCTCTGAATGGTCCCTCCTTGAGATACATAAATTTTGGTGCATGGATGATGTTGGAAATAAATAAGAACTGAACTAAATTACGTTGCCACCTCGGACAAAAATTGGGCAAAACACTGGAGGGTAAGAAGCTCCCCAGCAAAGAAGGCCATTTTTGTACTGGGCTTCCTACAGTCACACAACACTACTAATTGGGGAGAAATCAGTTTTTCCAAGATGTTGACAGGTATCTGAATTTCGGAGGAAATTGTAAAAAAGCAAAACCTGGTACAAATACTGGTCTTGGTTTTTCTTTGAGATCAAATCTGAGACAATGAATCTGTCCGAAAGCTGCTTTCTGCCCGGTTGTGGCAGAGGGTGGCCAAGGGGGCCTCAGCTGTGCTCCGACCACGAGGCTACAGAGTGTCCCCTGTCCTGAGGCTCTTCCGGACACCTGGCTGAGCTTTGGCAGCTCTATTACTAGCCTGGAGATGCCAGCTCCATCCTTGGCACAGAATGCTAGTGATTTTCATAGGGTGAGAGGCCAAAAGAGGCTAATAAAATGAAGATAGCCAAGCTTCCATGGAATTAGACAACAGAACAACCTTGACCACTTTGAGAGGTGTGGTGGCGGCCGCAGGCAGAGGGAGTGGGTTACAGAGTGACTGGGAGAGCAGTGGAGGCGGGAGCAGGAGACAAGCCTGACTCTGAAGACAGCAAGCCCTCCAGGGAACATGCCATCAGGGGAGGTTCTGAAAGATGGCACACTTCAGAGCGCATTGGTTTTGTATTCTGGTGACAAGTATCCAGTAGGAAGGCAAATGAACAGATTCTCATTCTCAGAAAGGCGGTCCTGACCTCCTGAGGGTACACAGAGCACAAGGGGCAGGACAGCGAGGAGGATGCACCCTCATCGATTCATGCAAAGTCCTCAGCCAAAGTCCACCTGCTCCCCACCTCTGGGACTTTGTCCTTCCTCAATTTAAGATGCTCCAGGCTGGAAAAATGGATTATTGAGCAGGAGTTGGCTGATGCATTCTAAACCCAATCCACCAAAAAGCACTTGAGAGATGTGTCAAAAGATCACAAAGAAATAGATGCTTTAGGCCCGTATCCGTGTCTTCACCCTGCACTTTCTGTCCACTTGAGCTCTCATTTCCAAGAAGAGTTGGGTTTTGGTTACTTCTACAGCTCAGAGTGTGACTTCAAAACACACCATAAATCCACAAAGTGTGTCCTACAGTGAGTTAAGTTAAACTTTCTGAAGAATTTTTTTAAAAGTATAGCAGAGCAGGCTACAACTGATGTTCAAACAAAAGAAAACTTCCATTTATTTCCCCCTTCAATTAAGTTACCTCTGTGTCGTGTTATTATGCTTCATAGAACATCGCTGCTGAGATCCCCTCCCCAGCTCCTGTTCCTAGGAAATATCCCAAATCGTAATCAAACATTTTCTTTTTAATTTGAAATAATTTTCCCCCATTTTTTTTTTCTCTTATTCACCTCTAGGACTCATGTGGCAATAGGATTTGATAGGGCTTATTTGCTGGCAAGGAAACATCAAACAAATCTTTTAGTGGAAAAATACATTTATATTATAGGTAAAATGCAGATGTATATTGCTACCGATGCAAATGTATTTTATTAATGCTGTGAGAATTTCTTCCTCGCTGTGGTGTGTGAATGTGTGTGCATATTTGCATGTGTTAAAGACTTAGTAATTTGTGAAATGGAACATGTTTCTCTACTTCCCACTAAGCATGACTGTAAAAGAAACTTTTTCCTCTCCCCTGGCATTCCAACATACTGGAAAGATGATATATCCACAGAAAGCCTTGCTTTCCAAAAATGAGAGAATGTGCCCCCCAGGTTGGTTAAAACATATGTTAATCCTGTGGCAGAGGAGTTTGATCTAGCCTTTTGGTGTAGCCCGCTGAGTAAGTTCATAGTGATCTATGTTCTAGTTTCCATGGGCTGAAATATAATATTCATACCCCCCAACACACATCAATTTCTTACAAAAATTTGTTTGTTTAATTTTCTCCTGCTCTGTATTTTCTTTGATAGTTCCTTGAATGGCTTCCACTAAATTCAAATGTATTTGGCTCTAAAGTGCAACTTGTAAAATTTTATCTGGTAATTTATAGATTGAATTTCAAGTATATATACATTATTTACATGAAGAACTACTAGCAAATCGTATGATTCTGTTTGTACGAAATGTTCAAAATGGCAAAGATATAAATACAGAAAGTAGATTAGTGGTTGCCAGAAGCTGCAGATTGGGGGTAACAGCTAAGGAGAATGGAGTGCCTTTTTGGGGGTATGAATAGTTTAAAAATTTATTCTGATGGTGGCTGCACAACTCTCAATATATTGAAATCCATTGGATTGTATGCCTTAAATGGGTGAATTCTATATGTTAATTATATCTCAATAAAACTTTTTTTTTAAAAAAAAGAAAAAGAACTACTAGAACATGTTTAGAATATTCTTTCAAAGGCTTAAACAAAGCTGAAAAGTGAGAAGAGCCCTAGATTCCTTCTGGGAAACCTGGCTTAAATCCAGGTTTCTTTATTTTCCTGATTTGAGAATTTGGTCACTGAGCAAATAACATGATTTTCCTAAGTCTAGATTTCTTTGTTTATAAAATGAGGATGAATATGCCACCCTACCTATACCACAAGCTAAATAAGCTACTGTTTGTAAAGAACGCACACTCACACTGACATTTACACACAGGTATGTATGTATGTATAAAAATGTGGGGACCTAACCCAAGCACTGAGTGAGTATTTGTTGAATCACTATCTGCATACGGCATCTGGCAAATGGATGCGTGTAATTTCTCCAGGGATAAGAAGCAAACGTATACCTATGGAAAGCCTTATTCAGGCCATAACAAAGAGAGAAACGCTGAGTCCCCGACCCCACTGCCACCATGAACTGGTGAGGGAACAGAATATATTCAAAGAGATATTTCATTGTTTTAACTTGCAAGTGAGGGGAGCGTGACAACGTAACAGAGATGATATAAATTAATCAAACTGAGAACGAGGCGAAGAGCTTAGCCATCCTTTGCATAGTTAGCTACATTGGCTGTTTTTCAATTAGACCAGCCATTATGTGGGGCCACTCATTTAGATTTGAAAAATCACCCATTACTTTCTCTGCCCATTCATTCCAGCACCCTGACCATCTTTACGGGAAAATTAAACTTATTTCTTGAAGAATTCCTCAATCTCATACAAGATTTTCAACTGGGAGTTTCATGAATCAAAAATTAAACGAATTGCACATAAAGCCATGGCATATGTATTTTTACTACATTGTGGGAGAAAAAATAATTATTATAATTAAAAAAACTATGTCTTACCTGATTTCAGAAATAAAAGAAGTAGAAGAACCACTTCCTTATGTTCCATTTTGGGACTGGCCAGCAGTGCCCAGAAAGTGTGTCCCAATCCCAGGATGTTGTTGACTTACATGAGAGTAAACGCATCCACAAACCAGATAGTCAAATTAAGTTAATTATTCTCTCAGAGACCCACGCCACTGCCTCAGCAGGGTTCAAACATTACCTTGCATAAAGGGTCCTTACAAAATGTTTGAGGGTGGAATCTGCAATAGGTGCTGGGAAGTGGTGAAAGCCATCTCCCCCCTCGGCTGCTCCACGCTGCCCTCATGTCTCCTTACTCCTTCCCTCACCCCTTGTACTTTATCTCTCGCAATTAGTCTTGTTTCCTCCCCTCTTCTTTTATTCCCTTTCTTTTGGAGAAAATAAAATCATAAAAGTATCTCACAATTGCTGGTACCTTCCATGACGAGACCCTCTGCCAAGCACTGCACTTTCATGGCCTCCCTCAATCATCCCAACAGGCAGTGCTGTTCTCATTCCTGCTGTTCCAGGGATGGGGCTGAGGCCTTCCCCCGAGGTTGTGTGGCTACCCAGGGGTGCAGCTGATAGACGCAACCCTTTCAGGTCTTAGATGACAAACTTAAGTTAGGTGTAAACATTAATATCGCCACATCCTACACCAGATGACATAGAAATTACAACATAAGTGAAAATATTTTATTATCTTCAAAATTTCTTTATTCCCAGTGAATTCACATGTTTTCCGTAATTATAAACTATGCTATAAGACATCAATCTTTCACCCAAATGAACGTATGGCATATTATTGTATTCTCATTCTCATGAAATAAAGCAAGAGTGGTAGCATTAAGTGAAAAGCGTCTATGTCAATTTTAAATGTTGAATCTGTACTTTTCCCTGACTTAAGGCTAGAGTGACCAGGTAGTACATATATGCTTTAAAACTTCTATTTTAGTGTTCAGATATATTTAGGAATAATTCAATTGACCTCTCTATTTTAGATGTGAAATAAGGACCAGAAAGCATCGTTCCTCTTTCCAGGCAGTGAAATTCCTTCTTATTCATTAACTGGCAAAAGAGTAGAGATGGGAGCCCAGGGGTCTTGGGTGGAACGTCCTGCAGAATTCCCTGGGATTGAGGAACCATGCAGAACCCTCAAGAAGAAACCACGTTGGGCAATAAGAGGGCGGCCCCATGTGAGGGACAGGGGGGACCTAATCGCATTTCCTGATTTCCTATTTTAGCCTCACTCTCCTCTCCCCTCAAATTCTTACCACTCCCTTTATCCTCTCTGACTCACCTCATGGCCCAGTTCATTAAAGGGGACAGAAGATGGAGGTAAGTTGAGAAACCACCAGTGAAGACATGTTTTAATTTTAATGTGAAATGTCTCTTAGGGGGCTTATGTTGGGTGTGCTTTAGAAAGTACTTTGGGGAAAAAAAAAAAAAACAGACTCTACTAATATATAATGCTTCCAGCATGTATTTACTTCCACTTAAAATGTTATTTTAGCAGTTCCTCTTGGATAAGGCACCTTGGGAATGATGTTGTCAGAAATTCTATATCCACATGATTTTCTTTTCCTGTTGTTTTGGTTTTGACTTGGGTGGTGTTGGCATAGCTCTTGCCCAACTTTCCCCTGGTAGTTGTTGGATGCACTCAATTCTACAAATGTGATTTTGTAAATTAGTTGCCCTCCTAATGGCCTCCTGGCTGTACATTCTTCCCTACCTTCATCATCCATCAGCATCGTGAAAGCACAGAGAGATGCTGAGCAGAGCTCTGTGCTGGAGCCACCACACTCTGTAGCCTGTAAGAGAGCAGCAAAGAGGAATGAATGCGTTGCTCAGGTATAGACAGGGGTGGGTGCATAGATACTTCTGCTGTGGCATGGCCCTTCATGTCCAGGGTAGGCATGAAGCAATGGACTATTCCAGATTGTACATAGGAATCCGTACTGCACTCTTAGAGGGATTTTTGCTCTAAAGACAACTAATTCAAAATAAGGCACTTTCTACCTGAAAGAATGGCATGACCTGAGAAAAGATATATATAGAGAGAGTTCTGTGTACTACGATCAGGTTGCACATATTCTGAGATTTGTGTATTATTTAGTTCAATTCATTATTTATTGACCACTTACTGTGTACAATATTATATTAGATTCTTTTAGGATTACAGTTGACCCCTGATCAACTTGGGGGCTTGGCACCCTGACCATACACAGTAGAAAATCCAGGTATAACTCTGACTCCCCCAAACTTAACTACTAATAGCCTGTTGTTGGCCAGGAACAGTTAATAACATGTATTTTGTATGTTATATGTATGATATACTGTATTGTTACAATAAAGTAAGCTAGGGAAAAGGGAACACTTGTAAGAAAATCGTAAGGAAGAGAAAATACATCTACAGTACTGTTCTGTATTTATCCGTACAATAAGTTTACACTGTCTGTTTACAAGATGAATCATCTGTCTGAAATGGAAGCAACCCCAGCTGCAGACCTCAGTCTCTGTTACATATCAGGCAGATGAAGTTTTTCTTGTAATGTCAAATGCCATGACTTTTCTGTGCTTCTTGGGAGCACTGCCAGCATCACTAGTGCCACTTCATATGGATCCCACGGTGTTATTCAAGGTTTACAGTACAGCACAAAACAGGAAGAAAAATACATGCAAACAGGGAGAGGGCACTTTTTACTGTGATACACAATTCACTGGGGATGAACTGCTCATGCCGGGATGTTGAGCATCACAGCATGTTTTAAGTGGATACTCGCAACAGCTGAGCTCGTTGCAGCAGCAACAGGAGGAGGCTACAAAATTATTATAGTAGTGTGGTATGCACTACGGTTAAATGTACGCAGTTACAATTTAATACTGCATCTGTATGTTTGTGTACACTTCTCTCAACTGAGAATAGCACCATATACGATCTGTGAGTGTTTGTGTACATAAGTTTTACTAAATTGTAACTTTTGCAATAGTTTTGTATATATTTTATGGTGGTAAATAATAAAATAGACTAGGTATCTATATATATTTTATGCATTCGTGACATACTTAACTTTTTCTACTTTATTTTGATATTTCTAGCTACATGGTTTTCTTTGAGTTTTTTTCACATTGTTGAAAAAATTCCAAAACATTTTCTAACACATTTATTGAAAAAAATCTGTGTGTAACAGTTCAGACATGTGTTGTTCAATGATCAACTATATGTCTAAAAAGTACAAATCAGTCTCTAACCTTCCCCAGCCTCTGTATACTAAAGGAACTACAGGAAACTTTCAAACGCAAGGTGTGTGGAGATTCTGCTGCTGCACTTGTAGCAGGCATAAGAACATTCAAATAGGCTGGGTGCGGTGGCTCACGCCTGTGATCCCAGCACTTTGGGAGGCCAAGGTGGCTGGATCATGAGGTCAGGAGTTCGAGACCAGCCTGGCCAGCATGGTGAAACCCCATCTCTACTTAAAATACAAAAAATTAGCCGGTCATGGTGGCGTGCTCCTGTAGTCTCAGATACTGGGGAGGCTGAGGCAGGAGAATTGCTTGAACCCAGCAGGCGGAGGTTGCAGTGAGCCGAGATCGTGCCATTGTACTCCAGCCTGGGCGAGACAGCAAGACTCTGTCTCAAAAAAAGAGAAAAGACCATTCAAATAAGATTGGAGACAAATTGAATTTCCTTAGCTCTGCCCTGCATAAGGCCTGCAATCAAGATCCACTCAGGTCCTCTTATGAAAGAATAGACGTCTCTTACAGCATTAAAATGGTAAATTCCTTGCAAGTATTTACAAAGAAAGTTATAAACACCAGGAAACGTCAACCTCATCAGGAGGTGAGGTGGAGTTCACCCTTCTGCTTCACCTTAACTGGAAACTGCAGCCAAGTCACAACTTCCTAGGTGATGCATGTCCATGCAAGCCGGACTGCATTGCTGGCCTGACATTTGCACCTGCCAGCTCCTTGCCACCCCTACTTTCCACCTTCCTACAGCCCAGGCTCTGCTGCCTGGGAACTGCCATTCTAGGACAACTCATTTCATCAAAATGAACATCTCTGCATAGCCCCAAGAGGACAGTATCATTTCCAAATGGAAATAGCAAGAACTTAATCTACTAAGGACTCATGTAAAGCATCCCTCTGTCGTGGTAAGGGTCCTCAGAAAGTTTATCTGTGCCCTCGATGCCAATGTGCAGATTGTTTTTACTGCTGTTTTAGTGTATTAGGGCATATCAGTGAGGAGACTTGTACTAATTAACCTGGAGGTGGCTCTTCTTTCTTTAGTTGCCCTTTTCCACGTTAGCCTTTGTTCATCCCCAGGACGATACAATGAGATGCTTATCAGCCCTCATGTCCCGTAAAGAGATAGCAGGCTATCTCTCAGTTAGCACAGTGGTTAAAATGTAATCCACTAGGGGACATTTTCTCTCTTTCTTTCTTTCTTTCTTTCTTTCTTTCTTTCTTTCTTTCTTTCTTTCTTTCTTTCCTCTTTCTTTCTCTTCTTTCTTTCTTTTTCTCTTTCTTTCTTTCTTTCTTTCTTCTTTCTTTTCTTTTCTTTTCTTTTCTTTTTCTTTTTGGAAACAGAGGCTGGTTCTGTCACCCAGGCTGGAGTATAGTGGTGCAAACACAGCTCACTGTAGCCTTAACCTCCTGGATTCAAGCATCCTCCCACCTGAGACTCCAGAGTAGCTGGGACCACAGGCGCACGCCACCATGCCCAGCTATTTTTTATTTTTTTTTGTATTTTCTGTAGAGATGGGGTTTTGCCGTGTTACCCAGGCTGGTCTTGAACTCCTGGGTTCATGGGATCCTCCTATCTCAGTCTCCAGAAGTGCTGGGATTACAAATATGAGGCACTTGCCTGGCACTAGGGGACACTTTCTAAGTGAGATCTAACTCATTCGGGGCTCAGTGAGGTGATTTTTTTAAATTGAATTGTGCTTGAAAAAATCTAGGTATCTATTCATCTTTGAAAAAATTAATTTTCATTGGCCATCTCCTCATTATTAATAAGCATGGCCGTGTTACATGCTTAAGACAAATATTAGCAGAGAAGAAAACAGTCAGTCCCAGACAACTTAGTAGCTGGCATTAAGGCGGCACCAGGACTCCCCAGAGGACAGTGGAGGGTCATTCTGCCCTGAGGTCCAGACTCACCATGGATAAAACAGAGATGCACCGAATCATCCTTCCCATCTCCCACATTCACTGTTCTCTAAGCTCATACAGAAAAAAAAAAAAAAAAATCTTATCTCACAGTGTGTCAGGGAGATAAGTCATGTAGAAAAACATTAAAATCTTTTCAGGAAAGCAAATGAGCACACAAAAAAAGCTGGTGAAATCTGAGCAAGGTCTGTCGACTAGTTTCTGATATTGTGCCAATGGCAACTTTCCGGTTGTAATCATGAACTATAGTTATGTAAGATACTGCCTGAGGGAGGTGGGGCCATAGGCACAAGAACCTCTCAGTACTATATCTATAACTCATTGTGTTTATACTTATTTCAAAACAAAAATTATATGTATATATTTATGTATACATGTATATGTGTGCATATACATGTGCCTATATTTGGAGACATGTGTCTATTTTAGGAGAACCTAGGATGATGTAACTGCTTTCATACTAGTTAAGAGAATTCCCAAAGTTCAGGGAAAGTCTAAAGTTATAGAGTTCCTAACTCAGGGTGTAGAACTTGGATTTTGGCTGATTCTCATGAGCTTCTGGGATGAGTGGGTGGGACAGAGAGGCTTCACCACCACCACGCTCCCTCCCTGGCTGGAGACCAGATGGTTAAAGACTGATGGGTGCTAGAGAGCAGCAGCCCCCCATGTGGGTCCAGAACCTAGAGGCTGGAGTAATTCATGCCTGCTCCTGCCTCCCAGGTATTCAAGGGAAACCCACCATCTCCACACACCAGCAAAACACCAGCAAAACAGAGGCCCCAAGTAATGACTTCTCCTTTCTCATCTCATCCTGCCATCTGCACCAGCTCCTGGGCTTCTCAATCCAAAGTTGGGGAAGAGAGAAGGCAATGTCAGTGGAAACCACTTTTGCTATAGACGCTTATCCTTCGGATGTTCTTTCAGTGGGTACAGTGTTTAGTGCTGTGCTAGGTGCTGGGGAATCAAGAGTAAATAAGAGGCCATCTTTGCCCTCAAGGAGTCTTCGGTCTAATGGGGTTGGGGCAATGCAGGTCTGTAAACTGGAATTGTAAAAGTGAAGTGACCCAGGTCCCATTTGTTGTAGTGGTGCACAGACAGACAGTCTTGAGAGGTGAGGAGATACTTCCCAGAGGAAGTGACATCCGAGTTGAGACTTAGAAGACAGCCGGAAGGCCGGGCACAGTGGCTCAAGCCTGTAATCCCAGCACTTTGTTAGGCCGAGACAGACAGATCACTAGGTCAGGAGATCGAGACCATCCTGGCTAACACGGTGAAACCCTGTTTCTACTAAAAAATACAAAAAAAAAACTAGCCGGGCGTGGTGACGGGTGCCTGTAGTCCCAGCTACTCGGGAGCCTGAGGCAGGAGAATGGCGTAAACCCGGGAGGCGGCGCTTGCAGTGAGCTGACATCCGGCCACTGCACTCCAGCCTGGGCGACAGAGCCAGACTCCATCTCAAAAGAAGACAGCCGGAAGGATGAGAAAGGAGAATAATTCTGTGGAGTCCTAATTAGGCAAAAGGAATCAGGCTGGTGGCACTGAGAGAAAAAGAAAGAGAAAACAAATAAGCTATAAGTTTGCCTTTCTTCATGGTCCAGGACCATAGCCCTCCTGTACAAATAACTCACAATCTTCCTGTGCCCAGCTATCACCAGATCCTCAGCTGATAGAAAAGTGCAGGTTATCCCACTGCAACCTTGGCATTATCAATACTGCACAAAGCCCTCTTCAGCACGCAGCACAAGCAACATCCTATAAAACCCCCAGCAAGCCTTTGTCTCTTGGCATTCAGTTCCTCTCTTGCTGGCCTGCCTGTTGCTCCTTTGCAACATATTTTCATACTTTCTTTAATAAATCTGCCTTTCTTTATCTACAACTGTCTTGGTAAATTCTTACTGCTCATCAGATACTGGCCTCAGATAGTTGCTTCACCTGCTACACATTCTTTAAGCAGAAGAAATATATATGCCAGATCCCAGAGGCAAGAGGAGCAGGCAGATGAGAGGAATTTGGCTAACATGGGGAAATGGTCCAATTGTGCAGGCTTCTCACTCTGTTTCAAGAAGTTTAGACTTCAGCCAAAGAAAGGCAGAGAGAGAGTACTGTTACTGAAGGCTTTTAAAATCCAAGGGTGGCTTGATCCCTCTGATTGCAGCATAGTGAGGAGGTCATAGGAGGTGAGAGATGAAAGGGAGTGAAAGAAGGCAGTGGAGAAAGAGAAAAAAGAATGGATTAGGGGGATGTCAAGAAAGTAGAATCGACATGATTTTGGGACTGATTGAATGTGGGGAATGAAATCAAGTATGCTGCCTGAATTTCTGGCTTGGACATCTAGTAGATAGTGGTATCATTCATTAAGAAGGAACATATAGGAGGGAATAAGATGAAATTGCCTGGGGACAATGTTATGTTTAGGAACTTGAGAAAACCCAAGTGGAAATTTCCAGAAGGGAGTTGGATATTCTGGTCTAGAACAGGAGTTCGCAAACTATAGCCCATGAAGCAGCCCTATTTTTATAAGTCAAGTTTTATTGGAACACGGCCACACCCATTCTTTTACTATTGTCTGTGGCTATATTTGCACTACCTTAACAGAGTTGAGCAGATGGGACAAAGACAATACAATGACCAGCAAGCCAATAAAATATTTGTTATTGTCGCTTTACCAGAAAAGTTTGCCAATTCCTGGTGTACAGCCTAGGAAAGAGGTCTGAGCTGGAGATGTGGAATTAGCAGTTGTCAGCACATAGGTGGAATTGAAGCAATGGGGGTGGACAAGCTTGCTCAGAGAGAGAAAAAGAAGCCTTGGGGTAAAGCCCTTAACAACACAAGGACCCAGAAGAAGAGAATTCTCTAGAGATG